CTCAATTACCACTCAGCTGTATATGTTTCTGTGAAGTTTTTTTCAAGACAGCATCTTTCACTAGTAGGCCTGACATGTCTTGGAGATTTAGGTGACAAACACTGACAGAGATACATGAGCTTACACAAGCTTCTTTTAGTAAACATCTCTCATCAGTGACAGAACAGAGCAACTTCAGAGAGTGCCACTACAGTGCATTTGATGAGGACGTACTATTGGAATCATGTTTTGTTATCCAATGCAACACAATGCAGACCTGACAGAATACAACACACGTCACACACATTCATCTGACAATGATGTTCCCAACAGTGAATGCAATTAGATGCTTAGCAGGTATCGAGTCACTTCTGATTACATCCAGCAAACTGAAAAGCAAAAAGTGCCGAAGTGCTACAATGACTCATGCATGGCGTGAGTGCTACAGCTGTTTCAATGCTTCAGAAATTCTTATTTCTCCCAAAGGTACAGAATTCAATGATTCTGAAATTTGTTTATGCAGACATATTTGATATAATAAGGCCATCACTCAATATATGGTAAATAAATGAAGTATTTTGTGACTAATTGGACTCAGCAAGTTACAAATTAATATATCATTTTAGGCCATGAACAAGAATTAGAGGAACCAGCTTAAAATAACAACACTGCCATCTAGTGCAAAAGAAAGACTCAGCAGCCTAGGAGAAGATACCAAAGGCAGAAACGGCCATATTAGATATTTCATTAATGGGAAATTATATTAAAAGTGACATTTTCTTCATGTATCATTAAATCAACAATAATCAAATGCCTACATACAAATCTCAACATGCTAATTGGTGGCTGTCTTAACTACTTGTTACATTAGCCTTGTACATCTACTTACACGTTGCATTATGATTTTGGCAACAAATCAACAATCAAATGGTCTCTATGTTTTCTGTGTGACCTGCCTCAAAGAAAAACTCATTTTCTTTGCTTTTTTGGAAATAAGTGTTTGGTGAAGCTGTTTCAAAATATACAATTAATTCCTGAGTGAATACAGCACATACATGTAAACTAACCTGCAGAAGTAGCTCAGTTTAAATTCATTGTTTATGTGATGTCACAAAACCAACATTTAATCCAGGGATGCAGTGGTGAACAAAAACAGTGAATAAACCTCAAACTGCAGTGGTCCCTGCTATGTTATTCTGACCATTCTGGTTGACCAGATAAACCATTAAATACAAACAAAAAACATACCATATGCTGGTCTGTACCAGCTTAATCAGGTTAAGCTGGCCAAGCTGTTCTATTTTCAGCAAGGCTAACTGAGAAATCGTGGACAACTACATACATGAAACATATATGTTCATCTTTTTAATCACTATAAAATTATTATATGTGCCTGGATCGGTTTCCTCAATAGCACATTTATAGCACTTTTTGTAAAACAAAGATTTTAATTATTTTAATTAATTTCAATTATATCAAGTCATGCCATGTTTATTATTTTTGCTTCAATTTTAATAATAGAGAGGCCTGTCACGATTATTACATAATCTCTGATCACAATAATTTTCTCAGTCTTATGTTTATGTCACAACAAACAGAATGTGAAGTGGATGTCTCATCCTTTGGGTTGATGCAAATTCATATAAACAAAAGAAAGCAAAAACACATTTACTGAGACATGTCATGTGAACAAAAGTTCTAACTTCTAACTGGTGCTATAACACCTTTAGAGGGCAGCGGCGGGTAATATTTGTTTGCTTGAGCTCAAGCTGCATCTGTTATTAGTTGGGGGACTGAGCATAAACAGCTAAGAAGCAAGACTGCTAATCAAATTCTTTAGGCTTGTAGGCTTGAACTTTAACAGAACCATACAATGAATAAAAAAGGCAATTAAATTGTGAATCACGATTATTTATGGTCACAGTTGTGACAGGCCTAGCAGCAGATGTTGATATTTTATTTTATTATTAATTAGATACAGGTAACATATAAATGCAATTGGCCAAAACATAAGCTTTAAAACAAACTGTCAGATAAAACCCATATTGTTGTGTATGGTGTGGCTATCAACCAGACAATTGCTTTTAATCAGGTTAAAATTATCATTGTATGGAACTAGTTTATTGCTCCCAATTGCTCACTTTTTTATGTGGATAAGTGGATTATTGATTATTAACAAATAACATTTTCTGTTGATTTTCTAAGTGAAAATGTGCTCTACAGGGTTCACTGAATAGTGATACAGCATTTTCTGCTAATTTTATTGGACAATTCCTATTTATTTGCTGAGTTTGACAAATTGAAAACATAAAATATAGCATGTGCCATAACTTTTGCACAGGCCACATAACTTTTGCAGGCCATGTTTTACCTTTATTTGTCTTCACATTTGTTGAATTCAACAAATAAACAGTGATTGTTCGGAAGTGTGTTCTCTGTAGAGGTTGTGTTAACTTATTTTTACCTAGACTTTAATTAATTTAACTTTTGCATATGACTGTATCATGTAATATTATTCTTTCTGATTTATGATCACCTGGCAAGCACCTTTTCAACAGGAGTGGAAGAAATTAGGTAAAACGTTTGTGAAAAAATGAACTGTGATAAAATATGCTTGTTTTTGCAAATATATCAGGATCACACTGATTAGCCTAAAGCTCTGGAGAGTTTCTGTGTGGAAAATTAAGCTAGACATAAGCTAAACATAATGGATCTTGTAATAAGAGAAGCATTTTAATTTGAGGGAGTATTTATGACTTCTTTATGTTCAGTGCCTTCCAAACATATTTTTCCTGCACTGTTCCGCAGTTATGCAATTTATGCTTAAAAGACAAATATAAGGTACAAAGATACATTATCCATATTTCTGGCTACATGATGTATGTTTTCATTTTAAAATATGGCTATTTTCCTCGTGTCCACTCATTTCAGCATAAGTACTGGAACAAATGACATTTCTTTTGAAGTATAAACGTGACCGTCTGTCTGTATGCATAACAAAAATAACATTAAGATGTGAGCTGTCTGAGAAATGCAAACAACAAGGACAATAACAGATTTCAAAGAGAATTTGGACTCAACAACTTGGAATATCTTCAAAGAAATGAAAAAGACAGTGGTGAACATAGCAGACTTCAACAGTCAAGACAGGTTAGAAAGTCAGCTACACATAGGAATAGTCAAATGACCTTGGCAGTATTTTAGAAACAATGGGCCTTATTCACTGACAGAAATTTCTTCCTAAAACCCACTTGCGCAGTTTCATGAAGATTCATTCACCATTTTCTTATTTGGGATTTGTTTTTAGGTAAGAACAGAATCTACACACACTCAAGAGAACAAAAGTGCGGGCAGTTCTGCGGTTTAAGAACACGTCATTAATCTGACGTAGACTTTTTCGTAGGACCTTTCTCAAGAACAAATTTAGGAAAAAAAAAATGGAAGATATTGGTGAATAAGGCCCAATGTTCTTTGTTCTTTATGGCCTTTGGCAACTCTTTTACTTTATCTAATTTCCCATTTCAGATATCTATCTTGTCTTCTTTTATTTATGTTCAATACTGAGACGACTTTGTCTGTGTGTAACAAATATACAGTTAAAACTCAACTGTAAGTGCTTCCAAAGCAGTGGACTACCTGCTGTGTGAATGATTATTTAGCCCATAGAGGGAGCTATGAGCTCAAAACCCAAAGCTGCTGAAATTGCATTTGTTTACAGACACATCTACTCTCCTGGTCTTTGTTAGCTTTTTGAGTTTCCCCTCAAAGAACTGTGTCAGCCCTCCAACATTCTGTTCTGTAGATTTTGAGAAAAATCACTTTATTAATATTGCTAAAGATTCCACACTAGTCATACACTGAGCTGTTTGATCCAGAGAAGTTCAGTGAAGAGAACGAGATTATGACAGAAATAAAGACCAGCTTTATTGTGCCTTATTACATTACGAATAAGCAGGATGTTCTGAACTTTCTTCACCTTACAGTCAAGTCTACATACACAATGATTCAACTATATAAATCAGGTAAACAAACTACTATACAGCAAAACAGCAATCAAGTGTCAGTACCTAAAATACAAACATCAGAGTACTTGAATATTGCCCCTGCTGACAGTTTTAAGTTATTTACAACAAAACTACTTGAAAAGCAGTCAGTGATTGCAGCACCTTATATGGTGCATACACAGATGCTCATCATTCAAGGCACCTCTCATTTAAAAGTAGGAAAGACAGCTAAAATACACAGCTAGCCATTAGAATTGTTTACTTCGTGGGTTTGCTGTTTTCCACCGGAATTGGAAATGTCCATTTTCAATAATCAGCTTCTATTCCAAACCAAAGTTAGAATGGCGTGATAAGCCAAAACAAATTTTATAGTCCCTGTCATGCTTCTACTCTTCTAGTGCTTTTTAATGATGGATGATAATGATAAATTTATATTCCACAAATAGCCTCCTTTCTATGATATATGAGCACCTGCAACTTTAAAAGATGAATATAAACACTCATCCTTCTGAAATCAACAAACAGCTCTGACCCAAATTCATATATATTTCAAACCGTAGGACTATAATGTTCCAATCACAGCTCCAGATAGCTTTAATAACAAAAGATTGTACAAGTTAAAAGTGATTACTTTCTTTAAAAAGTTTTTTTTACTTTTTGTCTACAGACCTATATGGCTGTGATTATTTTTGACACAAGCAAGCAAAATAAGACCCTGAGATAATGTTCTAAAACAATCCCCCACTTTTTCCAGTTTGAAAATAAATTCCACAGTGAAAGTTCCTAAAACAATTTAATTGGCTATTAGTGCTGTGTCTGTTTCACACATATGGGGTGAAATAACTTTAACATTGAACATCAAGCTTGTAGAGGTTGCAGTAAAATTCCACAACACCAAGCAAGACTCTGTCTCTGCAAGTTCTGAGGCAAATATTTGACCACATAACACAAAGTTGAGCAAAATATTCCTTGTCAATTCATAATTACAGATGAACAGCTAATTTATTGTTTCCAGCCTGCTGTCTTTCCATAAGGAAAGTTCTTCTCAACGAAAAGTTCTTCCAAAAGATGGAAAGTTCTTTCAATTTAAAGAGTTGGAAAACTACCTCGGCTGTATCCACTAGCCAGATCATATGAGACCTGAGAGACAGAGCAGTCCGTAAAGAAGTTTGGGAAGGTCAACGCACATGGAGAACTCTGCTCCACCTGAACTGGGCCAGATGAGTCTGTGTTACCATATAGAGGCGGCTGCCCTGGCACTGTCCTTATGTCCCCTGTTTTTTTGGCTACATTGCTGCTTGTGCCCCAAGGCTCTGCATACAGGAAACCTCCTGTCACAAAAGGGTGTGAGTCAAAAGAGCCTGGCTCAGGGCCTCCAGTTCCCTCCTGCTGGACCCTGATGGGAGTACTCTGGAAGAGCTCCTGTTCACTGACCATGTTGCTGTAGTCAGGCCCCAGGAGCTCAAAGAACTCCATTGCATCCGGATTTCCGCGCTCTAGGTCTTTGAGGGACATGCCGGAAGTTGATGTAACTCTGGAGCTGTTGGCTGGTTCTGTGAAAAAGGATGGGGGCAGGTTTCGGTGTCTCAGCGGGGGCTTTTTGGCCCTTTCTCCCCGCAAGTCCTTGGCAGGGTTAAAGAGGGCGGCCAGACTCTTGCTCTGCAAGTTGGCCTGGGACCCGTCCCGTTTAGTTGGTGTTTTGCTCTGCAGGGTGCTGGTTGGAGCCTGTGGTGAATCTTGTCCCTTGCAAGGCTCTTGAGTCGCTGCATTGCCAGAAGCAATGATCCCTGTGCATCTCTTGATCTGCTTCTGGAGGTACTTGCGATGGTTCACCTTCCTTTTGGACTTGACAGGCTTGTCCAGAGCCAGTTTGATGTTGCTAGAAGCAGAGTCGATAAAGCTGAGCAAGTCCCTGGTAGTCTCCCTGAAGTCATCCTCGCAGTCAGCTTCACCAAGGAGACTCCCGTCCAAGCCCTTCTCCACCTCGTACTCCATAACAGAACCAGGGAAACAGAAGTTTAGGAACTGCGAGTTCATGATGGCTGCCTGAACAGCCATTTCTCTCTGCAACCTTCACCCAAGATGTCCAGTATTATTCCCGAGAGTGCATCAGACCATCATTTAAACATTTTTTTTTTGTCCAGGCTGGTTTGCTACCCTTGGTCCTTGCGGTGGGCATGCACTGCACTTCTTTTTTTACTCTACCGAAAGCAGGACTGGGAGACAGACTTTGGGGAAGGCAGGGGGGGTTTTAGGGGGCAGGGCCAATGATGTCAGGACATTAAAGGGGAGGGGCAGAGGGACCCTGGACTTAACTCTTTGCTCACGCCTGACCACCTGCAACTAAGAGGGATTTGTCTGAGGCATCCCACAGTGCAAAAAGACAATAGCCACTTGTGTCTGTCCCAAGCAGTTCTTATTGTGTATGTGACCAGCACTGTCATTACATGAAAGACAGTGCTGGCTCACCAATACATTTAAACACATTCAGATTCATACAATAACATATCTTGTAGACACTTCTTTGTTCTGCAGTATTTTTCAAGACACAATAAAACTTTTTGCTTTAAAGGAATGAATCGAGGTTTACCTGTATAATTAATCTTTGGCTTTTTTAGGGACCTATATAGCCATTTTCCTTGGAATTTTGAGACTTCATATGTGACATTACAGCATATTACATATTATATTCATTAGAGTAGGGGCACTTTCTTTGATTTTTTTCTTTACATTTTTGCACTTTTGGTCCACAATATGCCATGGTGATCAGGTGTAATGTTATGACAAAGTTATTTAATGCTTTAAAACAGGACATATTAAAACAATATAAGGCTATATACATAATACAGAAAAATGTTCTTCTTTGTTTTTTCCATGAAATGTTTTCAGTACAAGATTTCATTACAATGAAAACCAGTTACACACAAGCAGGTTGATTTTACAATTTTGGATAGGTTACTTCTCCGCAAGCATGAATAACTGAATGCACTCACTTTAAAGTCTGCTGCATCTGTACAGCATAAAACTCAAATGAGTTTCATATCATTATGCATATGGTAAATGTCAAAAAGAGAGACCTGTGGGTTCAAGCTGGTGCCACTGTGTTCACGTGTGTATTCCCAAACTTCCCTAGTAGTGTCTTAATCTGCTTGTGGTGAAAGTTGATTTCTTGTGCATTCCCGCACCAGTGGGAATTTTAGCCTCTGCCTGACAACTATTATGGGCTGCCTTTGACATACAGCCCTACAGGGTCTAAATAGCTTCTATTCTTCCTTCGGCAGTGAAAGGGATCTTTGTGCCAGAGATTCATTAAACTGCACCTCACAGCCCCTTCGTAAAATGGGGCTCAATAATGAACAGTCGATTTAACTAGAAAAGCTGCCGGAGCTGTTAAATTAAAGGGGACTAAAGTGCAGTTCAAGCCCAGTGTGCCAGAAGAAATGTTGACCTTAAGAAATCCTGGGTATGAGTGTAACGGCCGCTGTAAACAATCCCGCATTTACAGGAAGTTTCTTGGCTAACAGTGAATGCTGGAATGGGAGATGGACCAATACTGAGAGGTTCATAGGGGCCCAAGCTGATGCCCACTGGAGCAAAAGCACTTACAGGGACATGTTTTTGGGTACTGCTGGTAGAAAAATGGACAAGGGTTATAAGTATCTCATGGAGCCCTTGAATATATAAAGATCATTTATTATACTGGGTTGACAGTTGTGCCCAGGTTCACAGAGAACTAAGGCCATGACGGTTTTTATAACTGATGGCAAATCTCAATGAGGTAAATGTAGTCATGAAGATGGAGAACACAATGTATTTTTCAACTAAGCAATGCTCTCCAAGTCTTTAAATGGTACAACGTTTATAGGGCTACTGAAATAAAATGTTTTATTCCATTCCCTCATTGAAGTTGGCAACTTGTGAAATCACTTGCCAAAGGACAAATTTTCCTGTATCTTCTCTTTCTGTAACACTTTTAAAGATTTTCCCAGGCATTTTTCTTTTTTCTCCTGTCTACAAGCGCATTTTAAGGTGAGGCAGTGAATCATTTAGATGTTTGCAAGGGTGAGTAAAAAAAGCCTGAGCGCCTTTGAGAAAGAGGGACTGTCGAGAGAGTGTTATTATCATGTAAATTCCAATGGAGAAAAGGAACAGTGAAACTGATAGCACTGATCTAATTATCTGTAGCCCAGCTCAAGCCCCTAGCCTGAATGGGGGTCCCAGAGAAGCTGCCATCACCTTACAATAAACAGCTGCACAACAATGAAAAAATAGCAACAGTTTAAAAGAAGACAAACTGTTTTTTACTTCTTATAGTTACATTTCATACTTTCTTCCTTAGTTACCTTCAGGCACTTTAACATCAGATTATAGGAAGTAGCTTTACAGGAGAAGGGAAAAAACTTTAAATGTAAGTTAAGGTAAAAAGGCTGTTTCATTTCATTTTGAACCATTTCTGTTGGTCTGTTTGTCATGTAATTTTGACATGGCATAAAGGGCAACTGCTGTTTTCAATGTGTGCAAAAAAATGAAATGCAAGGTTTTATTACGATGGCGACAATATAAAGAAAAGTTCTGATTGCAGCATATTGTTTAAAAAGTGGCATTTACAGTTGTCTGTTTTTCCTTTGAAAAAGTATATTCAAAAAGAATACAAACTGGAAATGATTCTAACTCTAAACATCAAGGCTTTGGCAGTGCATTAAGTCCTTTCATTCCTTTTTAAACAAGTTTCCACATCCTCCTCTTTCTTCAGCAGCCTAATTCTGGCACAGTGACATCACCAAACTAATGGCTGATATTTTCTCCTCTTCCCGCACAGAGCTTTTGTACATGCTAGTCATTCACATTTGAGGGCCTGACGCACTGATTCCGGAAACAAGTTTCTATGGCCACATAAAGGGCGAGGGGATCAGAGGGGGCTGGGAGCTGAACACTGGGGAGAGGGAAGGGGGAAAAAAGGAGAATTGCATTACATTAAAGAAAAGAGACAAAAGGGATTCCTGACCACTTGAACTTCCAAAAACGTCCCAGCGTGTTTTGTCTGGAAGAAATACATGTTGGGAAAGGGAACACAAATACGTCTGCAACTTCTGACATACGGCTTTTTACACTACATACAAAACATATCCACAGACAAAAGATCATTATACCTCCCACAAAACAAATTATTAGAGGGGGAAAAACAATAAACAAGGTCAAACTGAGGTGAACAAATGTCTTGGGGGGAGAACAAATGAGGCAAGCAGTGAAACAACATTCATCTTTCCGCTTTCGATTCACGTCCCTGGAAAGCTGCTTAAGCAAACGGACCATTGAAAGTGAGCATTGTTTGGTTATCGTTACACACTGCGCACCCCGACCTCTGCCCAGGGAATTTACAAACTCAGCACCCACTCTTTTTTTCCTTCACCCTCTCTCCCTGCCCCCCAGAATACCCTCTCCATCGACTACAGGCGTCAAAAGCAGGTTATACACACACGCAAATACACACACAAACCTAATCTCCTCACAGTAGTGTGTGGTCTGCATTAGATTATGGGTCAGCAGAATACTAATAAGAAGTTTGATTGATGGAAGTGTCGAGAGAGAAGAAAGGATGGTAAAATTAATGACAGCACCGAAGCCTTGAGAAGATATGGCTTACATAAAGGGGGAATTCCAAAAATTTTTCAAACTTTCTGAATAATTAAATGGCTAAAATGTAAACAGTGACTTAATGCCTCTTAAAGTTAAATCACAGAAACTATTACACAAAATGGTTACAAATATGCTGCTTGATGCCTGAGACATTGTTTTACAATAATTTTGAAATAAAGTTCTGGCCTAAAACATATTTTTCAAAAATCTGTTCATGGCGAAGAGGTACATGCAGGTCGTTATCAGGCAAAAAAGTCCCTGAAGAAAACTTTTTTGGATTTTTTGGAACACAATTTTACCATCATCAACATAAAAAACAAAGACACATACAGGTTCACTGATCGCTTTGGATAGTAAATACAATGGCTATATTTGCGTTGTAGTACCCCTGGTTCCTATCACTAAAACTGTAAAGAAGACTGCACATTTCAGTACAAAGCACAATTTCAAATCAAACCACACAAATCATGCTCAGTCGTGTCAAGAGGGGTAAATTACTGATATTGTTTTTTTTTAATCATACAAACTTTTCACAAAAAGTTACTACCAATGCATGAGAGAATGTAAGTGTTCTCTAGCTGTCACTGAGGGACTGAAGTCTAAGACATTAAACTGTCCTCTGAGGTCTTTTACTTTAAAGGTATTTAACTGTATCCACCAACAGCAACTGTGTCTGTGCATATTTATTCCAACTTTGCACACCTCTTTTCCCAGTGTGCTCATGTCTTATCAAATTTAATTGGTAAGGGTACAGAGAAATGGGGCTCCTAACAACCGTGAAAACAAGATGAAGAAAAACAGTGTTTCTATTTTTTTGTTTTTAATTTGAGTTTTAAAATGGTGTCCTTTTGTCTTGCACATCTGATAAAGGCCTTGCATGTGGGCCAAAAGATCATGTTTTAACTAAATAAAGTTACCTTTTTGCTCTATATAGAGCGAGTGTTGCACATTTTTACTGATAAACTCCTAACAACTGTGCAAGACCTGGTAGACCACCAAAACTGCCAAAATCAGATGAATAGTATTTTCATCTTTGAGAGAGAGGAGAAAAATCAAGCTCCACTCTTGCTTCAGATCTGAAAAAATCTGTCCATCCCTCCACTGTGAGAAAACAACCCATCACTATGGGTCTAAAAGGATGTGTAGCTGTCAAGAAGACCTTACTGAGAAAAGGAAATAGACCAAAAAAGAAAAAAAGAAAGAAAATTTGCAAATCAAACTAAGAAGATGCTGGTATTCTCAGAACAATAAACTATGGTGTAATTGTGATTTTATCCACACACTATCCATTTTTTGAGGTTAAGAGAAGGGTAATCCCCTCCACTAGTGGCTACATATACGTTGGTGCATGCACAAGCTAAAAGCTAAAATCAGGACACTAAATAACCTGTTGTAATTACAGGCCATAATTCCAAAACCAGGACTGGTTATAATTAACATTTAAAATTAAAACTTTTTGGCAAATGATATTCAAGCCATATTCAATGCATCATTCACCTCTAAATCAAGTATTGTGAGGAATGGTTAGAACAAAAGAAATACATTTGGACACAGTTGTGCTAGTAGGACAAGAACTGACACTTTAGTGACCCTTTAAAGATGGTTGATCATCATCCATCATTTCATCCCATTCAACCTCATTTTATCTCCAGAGCCTCACCCCTCAACCACAGCTCACCAGCAGGCCAGAGACCTCCTCCGCACTCAGGCTGTAGTATTAATAATACAGCTAGCAGGGGGCAGACTGCAAAAGATGAGGGGATGTCGAGGTACAGCAGTTTAGAGAGGTTAGAGCTGCCGGTGAATTAATGGCAGTCTGGGGGAGTCCTGCGGGTCGGTCTGCATGGGGCATGGTCTCCCTGTTATATACCGCTAGCCTCCCGCTAGCCACTTTATTGCTCAACGTCTGCTGTGGAGTTTTCATTAAATCACGCAGGAGCAGTGGCCAAGAAAGAGCAGGAAATGGGATATCTCTGTTGGATTCTATTAATATGCATTTACACTGCAATGAGTTCTATTTTTGAAAAGGTAGATTTTCTTTCTGTCTTTCATTCTTTCACCTTATCTCTTTCTTTCTCTATTTTTCCTTTCCTTACTTCTTACTCTTCCTTTCTTTCCCCCTTTCTTCCTTCCTTTTTTATTTATTTTCTTCATTTCTACCTTCCTCATAGATATTTTACATTTCATAACATGAGACATTCCAGATATTAACCAGAAAAAAGGGCAGAGGTGCTGCATGCAAATGTTGTTATCCCTCAGTGGTAAATGATGTTTACATGCCTTTATAATTGCAGCTTTAATTGTATAATTAATCCTTAGATAATCCTATGGTTCCACAGCAAGTGTACCGTTACAAAAGAAATCAGAACGTCTTACATTACCATCTTAATTACTACAGCAATGCAATTAAATGATTTTCTTAAATGAACCCCTGTGAAATTGAATGTATTGTGTCAATTAAGCATTCGCACATCAAATATTAGCTCAAGCAAACTAGTGAATATAGCTCTAAGTCAAGGGAACGAGTAAAAAGATAACTCTGTGCACAGGTACAAAGTCTTATTTGAGAATCAAAGTACCCTATTACACTAACTGAAGGACAATAATCGTATTTTTACTTACTGTTTTTTTTTTCACCATAATTGCATGAGAGATTGAACAAGACAGTATTTAGTAATGTTATAGGCTTTTTTAGGCTAGAATAGTGGTAGGCAGAAAGGAGGTATGTGGAAGTAAAAGACCATTGAAAGATTTTACATTCACTCCACATCAAGACTGCTTCTAATCTTCCAAAGTTTTATTTTTCATCATTGCTTTTGACATTTCATTATTTAAACTGTTCCACTGAGGATTATTTAAATGTACTTGGAGTGCTTCTCTGCATTAAAATCATAACACTTCAATCAATGGGAAATGTCCATGTGTGATTTGCATATCTAATGTAAGAAAGCGTTCAGTTGAGAATGAAACATGTTCATACAATCATCAGAATGACTGACTTAACAAAAAAAAAACACCACCTTCTTTGGTCCGGTTTAGTAAACAAATTACCTTTGGCACACAGCACTTTCTATGCTAAGGTAAAAAATTATAAATGATTTTTATCAACAGTCAAAAGTGGTCATCGTGTTAGCGTTGAATGTTTGATCCATTGCTTGAAGTACTGCACCTCCAGGGCCCGGGCACGGACGACAGTCTGTGGGTCATACTCATTATTGTAGCGCAGGTCGAGGTGGTGAGCTCCATCAGGGATCACAATGGCCACAAGAGAGTCTGAGAGGTTCTTGGTAACACCACCACTCATCCAGGGGTCCAAACCTCCATTACTGGAACAGGAAGGAAGAGAACTCATCAGAGATGCATGTTAACCATCAGATGTTGCAGTTACTGCTGGTGATAATGAAAGCATGGTGTAATCTGATATTATTTCTCATTTATACTTCAATGATACATGTGGAGAAATTACAACAACTGTGTTCCGAGGAACAAGATGAGATTTTTTTAATATCTAATGAAAGAGAAACCATCCTTCACATTTTTGCTTATTTTTGTTTTTGTTAGCTTTTGACATTAAGCAGAATGTAATTCAAATGTACACTAACATTTAAAGTTTGACATCACTGTTCAAATGTTTAGAATAAACAATGTAAAACCAATTAGGCATCATTCCATATGCTAGTCTTGTTTACTTTTATAGCATTCAAATAATTTGTAGGAAACTAGGAAGGCATATAGAAAAAAATGTAAAATAATAATAATAATAATAATAATAATAATAATAATAATAATAATGAATAAATGCATCTAGAATGATGAAAAGAGATGCAGATGTCCAGAATGCCTCAATAATTGAAAAATGGTCATCAGACATTGAGGTAGATAACTTGACAAAAATGTTTAATAAACAGATGATTACAGTAACCTATATGATTTACAGTATATAACTCAAAAATCATAAAAAGACAATTACAGTATATTATTTACAGTACATAACTCAAAATCATAAACTGAAAATCTTAAAAATATTGAATAAAACATCTAAAAATTTCTCTGTTTCTAGTTTGAAAGATTTAATTCTACACTGTAAATAAAATAACACAAACTATAACAAGTGACTAAACCTTTGAACAGTAGGTAAATACATTTTGTTGCACTATGTACTATATAACAGTACAGCAAAATGAAAGCAATAACTCTTGATTTCCAATGGTTATCATTACTGGTCTACATGTGATCTTGAGTTCCTGTATGATTTACTAGGTGGTGGCTGAGAACTTGTAATACAAGAATCATTAAGTAAAAGAATTTTTTCTTGTTCAGGCATTGCAGATCAGCATACAAAACTAGGTGCTAATTGCTATCTAAGGCTGCAGAGGGCAGTTCAGCAAAATATTCTTAGTTAAGATTTGAAGGTTTAACCTAAAACCAAGCAATTAGACCAATTATTCAAGCTGCTTTCCCTTCTGATGTAAGTGGTGTAACAAAAGTTTAGAATAACTGCCCACCTGAAGACGATGTTGCTGTGGGAGCCAATGTTCTTCCCACCATAAACACTACCAGCCCAGTGCTCCCGTGGCCGCACTCCAAATATTTCATAGCACTCATCAGAGAATGCCTGGAAGTTCCACACCTGAGGCTCAAACATGTCTTGAATGCCATCAGTACACATGGGCATCACCATCTCTGTACAGGCCTGGTCACAGGAATAGTGAAGAAAGTCTTTCAGAAACTCAAATATAAAGTACAGTTATGGCCAAAAACCACTGTGGGGCTGAATCATGTCATCCTCATCACTGAGAGCTTATTTCAATACCTATATACAATACTTAAAGTTTGTACATCACACGTTATATATGCACTGATATTGAATGTGAACATGCTGAATAATCATGTTGAAGTTCTACCTGGTAGAACCAACCCCTGAAGCCCAGACTTCCAGTAGCAGTCTGTGACGTGTTGAGGCAAACAGCACTTCCTGTGTAGTTGTAGTACACTTTCACTGCCTGAGCGATGCCATGTAACAGCTGCTTGTCTGAGACACCGGTATCAAACTGAAGGTGTGAGCAGACGACCTGGAAATCAAAATAATGCATGACGTTACCACAGGCATATACTGCTGAACCAACAACATTTGGGAATAAATAAAAAAATAATTATACAATTAATGGTGACACTATTTTGAGTGGTCCTTTTTACATGAAACAAACACTCTCAGTAACATATCAAGAACAGATGAGGGTTAGGATAGGTTTTGGGTTGAGGTTAAGGCTAGGATTAGGGCCAGGGTTAGGGTTAGGATTAGCACCAGGTTAAGGTTTGGTTTTGTGTAATGTAAGTAACATATTAACAATACATCTACTTAATGTAAGTAAAGTATCAACTGTACATCTAGGTATTTATTTTAATGTATTCAGATGCTTCACTACTGCTACTTCACTGATATGTTGTTGATGTGTCACTGACAATCTGTTAAGCGTTTATTAATCATCTACAAAGGACAACTCCAAATAAGGCGTTCCTCAATTAATCTGTAAAATGACTCAGTTTCAAAAGCAGCAAGAGTGCACTGATAACAAACGTATGCAATTACAACTCAATATATTATGCTTCTTGACTAGTTCTTTTTCACTACAAACTATTTTTCAATGTCATGGCATGCTGAGACTGAGATAATTAGTTAGAATGTATTTAGTAGTCTGTAAATACAGTATAAATACACACTGTAATATTAGTAGATTATATTTACCAAATAAATAAGGAGGCTAGAAGGAGGCAAAATGTTACAACGAATAAAGAATAACCATGATTATTATATGACATATAAATATTAACTAAAAAGTACAAAAATGTATTTTTTTAATTTTCAAATCATCAGGCCTTCTCTAATGGTTCCCCACTGGAATAGAGCTGTACAGAATGAAAATATAGGTACATGGAGTGCAGTTGTAAAAAAAGCACATTACTTTTGATTAATTTTACTTTGTCATAGGTGTATTAAAATGGTTTAAACAATTAAGGTCATTGATTGAAGAAGTATGTGAACCTCTAGGATAATGATGATTAATGTCAGATGTTCCAATCGATTCAGGCATGGATTTGTCCTGCGCTGCATAATAAAACAACTTCACAGCAGAATTCTGATTAAATGCTCTAAATAAGGCACCAGTAAAAGAGATTTAACAGGACCTCAGCAGTTGTTGAAGTTTCTAAAGGTAACAAAAGAATTTCTAAAGACTTGGGCCTCTATCAGTCCGCATGAAGTTTAAAATGGGAACACATTCAGCATCACTGCTAGTCTCCTAGAAGTGGGCGTACTACAGATTACAGATCAGTGTGAGGGCGTGCTGTAGAATCCTCAAACAAGTGAGTTCCAACAGATGAAACAGAGCACTGAACCCTGACTTCAGTTCCACTAAATCGCTGTGATGTAATCTGAAGGCCAGTCAAGCAAGATATCTATACAAACATACAGTACTGTAAAAAAGTCAGAAAATACTCTTTGTTAGTTTATTTTCCAGTTGAAACAGCAATTAAGTATGAATTATTAATTTTTTTTGGTATTAGGAAAAAAAGTAGAAAACATATTTACAAAAAAAAAAAGATGACACAGAAGCATCAACGACCAATACTGTCAATTTTTTCAGCATTCAGCACGTCCACCATTTGCCTTTATTACAGCTTGCTTTTTTCCTATTTTTCCACACTTCCAAAGTTCAGTCTTAGAAGTTAGCTGTATTTTCTGCTTCTCACAATCCAAGTAATCCCACACACATTCAGTGATGTTGAGGTCTGGACTCTGGGGTGGTCAGTCCATTATTTTGAGAAGACGAGCAGCTTCTTTGCTTTATTTGCAAATTCTCTTCATTTTTGTCTATTTCCTTTTTCAGTAACATCTTCTTGACAGCTACACACCTTTTCAGACTCATAGTGTTGAGTTCTCTTCTCACAGTGGAAGGATGGACAAAAAACAATATTTACACCTACACATGGTCATTTTAACTAGAAGTTAAATAAATGAGGGAGATTTCTGACTTTGACTTATACTGTACCTGAACAAAATGTATTTTTGTATAGAGGGGTGAGTCAATATACCTCTGATCACTGCTCAGGACTGCAAAAAGCATCTAAAGAAACTATTTGGTTGAGGTTGCAGCCAATACTAAAGGGTTCATACACTTTTCTATTATTTTGGATGTTTAAACCATTTATGCAATAATGATATGGCACTGTAAAATGTTTGCAGAATAGATCAAATCATGTCTGATTTTGAAAGTTTAGGAGCCATCCATTAAGAATGCCATCATTAAGATGTGAAACTGCATAAAAAAAAAGTGTGGGATCCAGCCCAAATTACAACTGCTGGACTCCACACCTTATTTGAATATCTAATGTAATAAAGTATTCAAATAAAAATGTAATAGATATAAAATGACAAGTTTTGGCATGAAAAAAAAAAAACACTACTAATAGTTATTGAGCACATTTCATAAGTAATGTAAATACTAGTAAGTCATTTGCTTTAAATCCACGGGCCATATGTAAAGCCACACTTCAGCTGTTCACTCATTTCTACATGAACTAATATATATATATTTATTTATTTATTTATTTCACGGTAGCTACTGAATAATTTATAGTAGTGATGACAAACAAACCTCAAATTCCAAACTGATTTGATTCATCTGAAGCACAGTGTTTGACACACTGTTTCATTACATCACACTATTTTGAATGTTTCCTGCGTTTCGATATACGCGAAAATAATTGCAAGCTGCTGATCTGGGATCAGGATGTTCTGGCTTATTTAAATGTTCTGTTCAGGATGTTCTGAGCTATTTAAAACAATTCAGGCATGGATTTGGCCTACTGTGCATTTTAAAAAAATAGCTCAAAAATTAAAGTAAAATTTGTCATTAATTAAATTGTTTTCCAACTTCAAAGAAAGCCTTGCTTGCATATGACACAATATATTAACGAGAAAATAGGAACATGACAGCAAGCTTTAAGTATTTCTTTATGTTCTTCATACAACGTTTCACAGTTCACAATCAGTTAAAATGCAATATTTACAGAAATGGTCTGTTTTTCACTGACGGTTACCTACAGCTTTTCGTGTGGGAGAAAGAAAAAAAAACACATTCCACCACTTTCTCTAAAGAATCAACTGATTTGCATGTGAAATTGTGTGGAAGGGAATTTAGCTTTAGTAGAATTTATCGCTGGAGAGTTGGCACAAAGAATCTAGAGTTGTTTAAGATCAACAAGAACAAGGCAAACAAAGAAACCTCAGAAAACACATAAAGCACAGTCCTATCTGTGGAAACTAATTCATCATGCAATCCCTGGCTGAAAAATGAACAGTGTTATAGTAATGTCGCAATATATGAAAGTTTCTATTTGCTATGTATGTGATACCCACAGCACTCTTCTGCTGTTAATATGAGGCATAGATTGGGTATTCAGTAGCTAAAGAGTTCAAGTAGAGTGGAGTTAGCACAGAGTTTGTTGCTAAGGCTTTTGTTTGAGTCCTAAAAGAGGAGGTGGTCTGTGCACGAGGTAGGCTACAGATATGTCCAAGCTGAGACTTATACCATGACAAAAAAATGCAGTGGCTCTCTAAAGCATCTTCTCTCTACTTTTCAGATGGGATTAGGCTTATACATTCATCTCCGCCAACAGATTTCCCTCCTCTAAGCCCTCAATGCCCCCTTCTCACAGTCACTCACATAATCACATTAGCTTTGTCATTAAAAGGCCCCCTCTTTGCACCCACTGTCTAAACCGCTTTAAACACCCATAGGGGTCGCATACATTATCAGAATTGGGCAAAAAAGCTCAAAAATGACTATTTTCTCTTTGTCAGAGCAAAAACATGCTCAAATACAGATATGACACCTGATTTTGTTGGCATTTACAGATCTTTCTATCTTTCTTTGGAAATAGTCTTTTCCCTGTGGATATATAATGTCATTATTTGAAATACATAAAATGTTTTTATTATTTAATTACTTATAATTACTTTATCATTATTGGTATTCTGATCTACAGAACTTTGAGAGGCTGCATTTTTGATCTTATTAGTTTGTGACCAGATATAAGCATGTACATCCATTCAAAAAATGAATGAACGGGTCTGTTTGTCTTACAAACTGAAAATATGCAGACATTAAATAAATTAATTGTGTTGACTTTAAGTTATTGGTTTATGTAAAATGGACAAAAAATAATGAAATAATTCAATGAATAAAAAAACTACTTATTTTGATCGAAAGAGAACTCCATTCCAATCAAACCCAAACAAACTGCACTAAAATGTTTACATTTTGTTCCATTAACAATTGAAGTTTATGCTGAGGAAGCAATATGTGTATGTATTGACTCATTTTGACTGAATCGAAAAGTGTGGCATAATTGAAAAATGTTCATACAACAATTAATTTTCTTCAGTGTATATAGGAAGAATAAACTGTTATATACAGTGGAAAACACTTGAATATAATATAATTTAATATAAATATAATTTAGAAAGACCTACAAATATTCTTCATTGAGCTTTCTTTGTCATTTAAGGTCAGTATATTAAAATTACACTTATTTAACATCCTCAGAAGAATATACAACCAACCCACTGGTGAGTGGACCTTTATAAACCATTACTAATTGTTAAAAAAATGTCAGGAGTAATGTGAATCCTAGTAAGTAAGTAATTTGCTTTAACCCTTAAAATTACCAGGCTTATTACACACTAAGGCCTATTATTCAGTAACTACATAGACTTCAATGTAAACTAGTTGAGCTATTCTTAGGTTACAGAAGTCCGTTGGCAGGCCCTGGCCATGTAAATTAACCCCTCAAACCTTAAGGACCACATGTGAAGCCACACTTCAGTTGTTCACTCATTTCTACATAAATTATTATGTTTATTAGTTTCATAGAAGCTATTGCATAATTCATAGCAGTGATGTCAACTTAAACCTCTTAAAAGATTCAAAACTGATTTGATTCTTTTGAAGCACAGCATTTGACACACTGTTTCATTACATCTCACTGTTCTGAAACGCCTGAAACGTTTCCCGCTTTTCAGCATATGCGAAAAGAAGTGCAAGCTTCTGATCTGGGATAATGATGTTCTGACCCAAAATACATCTAAATGAGAGTCGAAAAACCTCTAATCCCAGATTTGTGTTGTTGACATGACATCACCCGATTTTTTTGTCCCTACTTTTTTGTGGAGAACATTACGTAAGTTAAATTACAATATTATTTTGCTCTTTAACATAGTACAATAGAACAGATGTTTCTTAATAAAATTAACTAATTAATTGTATTATTTAATAAAAACAAATCCCAAGCCCAGTTGCACAAGCACTCCCCCCCCAACTTTAACAGTACACAAAATCACAAATATTAACACATTGACAAATGCATACAAGTGTGTATGTATATTTATAAGAACAAAACAAAAAAAATCATGGATATGTTTAGTTCAATGAAAACCCCTGTAATTAAATTTCACATTTGAAATAACCTTCAGTGCTTTTTTCAGTATATTCAATATATCTTCTATTAAAAGTCCCATTTATGCCATCACTAATTCATAGCAGTTACATTAACAATACCACCAACAACAACTGAATATGACTTAGGTTCAGGAGTTTAAATAAACATGAATATACGTCTTATATCTTAACTTCAAATTTCCTTATGAAACTAACTCTCACTATGTTACCATCCCTAGAGGTGCTGGTAAAACTCTTTTCCTTGTCAGATGGAGTGTAGATGCTGCTATTACTCTTCACAGTAAATACGTTTTCTGTTCATGGATCACACCATGAGTACCCAGAACAGAACACCTCAGAGATCTGAAAGCGTTTCTCAATAGGGAGCTTAGTGGCAAAAGAGGAGTTAAAGAATGGGGAACTACCATTAGCAACTGATCAAAGAGAGAGCACAAATTCAACACCAGCACCTTATGAATATTAATGATGCTTCTGGGGTAAACAAGCAATTACAAAAGACCTGCACCTTATAGGCACAAGTAATTTGTTTCGGACAGCGTTAATGAGGGGGCTTGTTTCAGAGAAAATCACATAGACTGAGCTGCTTTATAGTCACTTTTCAAATTGTAAGAAAGTGGATTAATTTTTGTATTACCATCAGGGGTACGGTGGTGTTGTTTAATCTGTGACATGTATTCTAAAATATACATTAATCCCACCATCTTGTGTATCATCTTTTTGTGCGTTTTAGTGTATTTTGGGGGTGAGCGAGGGGAAGAGGAAAAGAATGCACTATCATGTTCCACTGATTTCTGTGTGATCGGTTCCTCAATAAGATACAACACTTTACTCATTCTTGTAGTTCACTTCCTCACATTTAAAAACACCAATTTAAAAATATTCAGGATGATATTGCATCTCAAGTACTACTACACATGCTATGAGATTACACAGACAGCCATAAAATGTATTGACTACAAAAGCACTCATATGCTTTACTTGAACATTTATCTCACCTACAGAAGCTTTGCTCCTCTCTTTCTTTTATTAAAACAAGTCACAAAGATAAAAAAATACCCTGCAATGGTCTCTGACCGTTTCTGTTCATTTCACTTCACTGTGATGGAATCAACTGTTCTGTTACAAGGAAAACTTCTTGTTTTTGTAAATGGCAACTTGTGAAAGTCAATTCAATGTACAGTACCTTAATAGGCCAGCGTGGGAGGGGCTGGAGGAAGTTGGCCTCATAAGGATAATCAACCATTGCCAAGTTCACCCAGGTCTCCTGGAGCCAGCCCTTAAAGCCACCCACATCCTCTTCCTTCAATGGAGAGCACAGTCCAAACTCCTTATACAGCCACTGCAGACCTTCTTCTAAAATAAATCAATGAGGAATATAACAATATAGCTTCATCCAATTTACAGGACCAATTCTTCTCTGATACAACTAGAACACTCACAAAAACAGACAATACAAGGATAAATATTACAAACACTTCTAAATGAAATGTTCTTAATACCTAATCTGAATGTAAACTGACAACATGCTTAATAGTGATGTTCACATCTATTTTTTCTCCAACTGACTAGAATTAGAATTAAAGTTTTTTTTTTACTTTGTTTTGTATAAGAGCATTATGTGTCAGGCGTAAGTACACAGAGCTTGACAAAGACATACAGTCCTCAGTAGTTTCACCTTCATACAAACCTGTTGAGGATACATTGTTGACAGCCATCCACGACCTCCTGATGTTTTTGCTGCAGTTGATCCCGCTATTGGCAAAGTCTTGCGTGACTATTTTGTAGAAATCACCACAGGGCACCATATCAGTGAACTGCCATATCGGAGCAGAAGCAGCTAGAGCACTGAAAGAAATAATGACAGCGTCTGAGGCCTTTTGTTTCTAGAGTTTGACATTCTTGTGACTGAATGTTCTTATTTTTGCTGTGCACTCAAAGTTTCGGTAGGAAACCACACATCCATATAAGCAATGCATTTTGAAAAATGTAGCATGAGAACAGGGCAAATAATTCACACAATCTTAAGTTAGATATACATATTTAATGCCGGGAAAACACTTGTGAAGTTATTACAACTTTACACTATCTGCACTTATGAGGAGATTTAAATTATTAAATGGCATCTGAATGTAAAGATTATAGACTAGACTATAGGTCATAGTATCAAACTTTCAATGTGAAATTCATCAGGTAGTGAAAAAGGTCTTTATTTATTCATTACTCACCCTATAACTACACTGGGGTACTTCATCCTCAGCCAGGCAGACAGCATTCCACCATAGGACCCTCCAATGGCAATGACAGGGCTGTTCTGGGCTCCTGGAAAACTTTTCTTCAGGTTTTCAATCAGCACTGCAAAGTCAGCTAAAGCCTGCTCTGATGTCAGGTAGTTCAAATACTTGGCATTCTGAAAGACAGACAAGTCAAGAAAATATGTGTAATTATTCAAAAAGATGGATATTATTTCAAACTACAATCATAATTACAACACAATTTGCCTTACACTGTAAGATTCATCTCCAAATGGAAGGGATTCCCCATAGTAGCGATGTTCTGCAAAAATCAGCAAAGCTCCCAGCTCCTCTGCTGTGTCCCACATGAAGCCCTATGGCAAATAGGGAAAACACAAATGTACCATAAGAGAATGTAGTTAGCACTGCATACAGTTTTTAAGAATATAATGAAAACATAAAAAGCTCAGGTGACACTGACATGTTATCTGGAAAATCTTGTAAGGCTACAGCTCACCAGAATGACAAATGATATAACAGAATAAAAGAATGAATGAATAAGTGAATTAATTGAATGACTTGAATGAACTAGTTAAGTTTCATAATTACAGTGTTGTTACAAAACCATGTGATGTCTCCTTCATTGCCAGTATAAAACAGAATTGGGCCGTTCTTCTGATGCCAGTGCTCATCATTGAAAAGGAACCTCTGCTTGAATGTGCCATTCTCCAAAAACCCAAAGTGATCAATCTGCAAAAGAATAAACCCAGAATATGATAAAATAACAAAAAGGATGTGTATTTATTATTGAAGATCTTTACAGGTTCCTTTATGCATGGCATTTGTGTAAACATTTCATCTCCACTTTTAAAAAGGAGCTTCAAGGCAAATACAACCCCATTTCCAAAAGAGTTGGGACACTGTGCAGAATGTAAATAAAATAGAATGCAATGAAATGCAAATCAACTAAACCATATTTTTAAAGAAAAATAGTATAACAACATATCAAAAGTTGAAACTGAGAAATTTGATTGTTTTTTTGAAAAATATATGCCCATTTTGAATTCGATGCCAATAACACATTCCAAAAAAGTTGGGACGGTGGCATGTTCACCACTGTGTTTCATCACCTCTTCTTTTAACAAAACTCTGTAAGAGTTTGGGAACTGAGGAGACCAACTGCTGTAGTTTTGAAAGTGAAATGTTTTTCCTTTCTAGTTTGACATCGGATCTCAGCTGCTCAACAGTTCGGGGGCTCATTTGTCGTATTTTTATTATTTCATAACCCTCCAAATGTTTTCAGTGGTGACAGGTCTGGACTGCAGGCAGGCCAGTTTAACACCCAGACTCTTTTAATACGGAGCCGGGCTGTTGTAATACAGAATGTGGTTTGGCATTGTCTTGCTGAAATAATCAAGACCTTCCCTGAAAAAGACGTTGTCTGGATGGTAGCATATGTTGCCAAAACATGTATATATCATTCAGCATTAATGGTGCCTTCACATGTGCCATGTTCACTAATGCACCCCTATACTATCATGAATACTGGCTTTTGAATTGTGCACTGATAACAAGCTGAGTGGTCTTTAGCCCAGAAGACACAGTGTCCATGATTTCCAAAAAGAATTTCAAATTCTTTGATTCGTCGGGCCACAGGACACTTTTCCTCAGTCCATTTTAAATTAGCTCAGGCCTGAAGAAGGTGGCAGCATTTCTGTATCCTGTTTATATATGGTTTCTTCCTTGTGTTTTAGAGTTTTAACTTGCATTGGATGCAGTGATGAACTGTGTTCACAGGCAGTGGTTTTCTGAAGTGTTTCTGAGCCCCAGAAGTGATTTCCACTACAGAGTCATGTCTGTTTTTAATGCAGTGCTGCCTGAGGGGCCCAAAGATCATAGCCAGCAAATACTGTTTTTTGGCCTTGTCTGTTGCATACAGAGATTTCTTCAGATTCTCTGAATCTTTTAATGTTAATATGTACTGTAGATGATGAAAAGCAAATGTTATTTGCTAATTTACATTGATAAATCTTATTCTTGAATTGTTGTACTTTTTGCCTGCGCAGTCTTTAACAGAGTGATGAACCCCTCCTCATCTTTACTTCTAAAAGACTCAGCCTCTCTGGGATGCTCTTTTTATACACAATCATGTTACTGACCTATTGCCAATCAACAGTTGTTGGCATCAAATTAAAAAATGGACAAATATTTTTTAATAAACAATAAAATTTCTCAGTTTCAACATTTTATATGTTGTCTTTGTACTATTTTCAATTAAATATAGGGTTTGAATGATTTGCACATCATTGCATTTTGTTTTTATTTACATTTTGCACAGTGTCCCAACTCTTCTGGAAATGGGGTTGTAGAATAGAAGTCTTGTTAGCTACATTAGCCTTGTAGCTTCAGCCCAAAACTACAGATGCACACTTAGGACACTAAAAATGTACGGTTGACTGGGGTAAGAGGAAAATTGTGTAAGTTAGATTTTTCTGTTATCTACTTCTTTAACATGGTACCTTTATATAATCTCTGCATATAACAGTTCAAACTGAACTTTATATGCCTAACCACAATGTAAACAATTACACACAATGTATATATTCCTGGGTGTTCTCATTGGTGATGTGTCCCTGTGCCATCCCAGTACTGTCAAGTTGAAAACCTCAGGGGGAGGATGCAAGGATAATTAGCTTCAATTTGTATTAAAATCCAACGCCAGACCTCAGGGATGCCACATTAGTTCCGGCTTCACTGGCCCTGTGACGTCTTTTCATTGAATCCCAGAACTTGTCCCTATTTTTTCCCTCTCTCTGCATTTAGGAAAAATACCTCAGTCTTCCTCCTGTGTGTTCCCAAAACTGTAGTGCTGTGCTGCCCTTCTAAACTGTTCTCCTTCTTGAATCATGTCCAATAAATAAAGATGTTCTTTTTTGTGTTACACATTCTCCCGCCTCCCATTGGATACAAAGAGGCACAAATTTTATAAGCCAATGACAGTAAATGGATTCACCAGGCCAAAAGTTTCATTCTCCAAAGAGTCAGATATTGGCTTTGGGTCAAATATCTGTCACTGTTTTCATAAGCTTTAAAGAGTAATTCAACTTCAAAGTCATGTTTAAAAGCAAAGAGAGAAAGAGACAAAAAAGTTTCACAGAGTTTAAAGTCCAGCATCTTCAAATAGATATACACATATTAATATGAACAAGTTTACATATAGCATGAAATAAACCGTAAGTAAACTACATGATGTACCTCTTCTCACCACAACTTTGGCCTACATTAACAAAGGACTGCTTTGGATCGATGGTGCCACCTGGTGGTCATTAGCAAGTTTGCGACAGTGTTTTTGTACAGACAACACAAGTCCCTAAAAGTGGAGAAGGGAAAGTCTAGAAGCACATCTTCTACAATATAAATCAAGTCTAGCTATGGACTCTTTTCACTGAAATACATTTATTATCTCATCCTATCTTTCTACTTCATCTGCTTTTGTTTAATGCACTCCTGTGGCCAGTCTGGCAGAATAAAGGAACATGAAAATACAGCAAGCACTTTCAGTTCACAAAAACAGCCAAAAACAGCATCTGTTACAGCGTCTCCTTTTGTTCCCCACAACTTCTGCTTTCCGCTTTGTTACTGTGGGTAAAATAATTTATGCTCACTATTGGTTGCTATTCTTACTGGAAACCTCCTCCTAAAACAGTGAAAACAGCTGAACAGAAGAAACATTTTACATTTTTTTCTGAAAGATTTTTAAGCATGCAGAATAGACATTCTTTGCAATTTCCTCATTCTTGTCAAATGATTAAAACAACTTTGTCAGAACCATATGTGGTGATCCAGAGAAACTGCTAGCTCTGAAGGTGGCCTTGGTCTGCTGTGGTTCTATCCTGTTAAGAGTCTTTACAAGCTGCAAGTATACTTTTTTTATACAATGCCAGGTTGTTCCAGTAGAAGCGGTTCCACACAGACCAATTAGTCACCCAAAGCACCCTTGTTTCAAGAGACCATAAGTGCAGGTTTCTGATTATAACCTGTAAGTGCTGACAAAGGGAAAAGACAAGACAATAAGGAGCAAGAAGGTCAGGAAATGGCCTCACTCTTCCTTAGGCCTTGGCGGATGAATCTGGCACCATGAAGCTTTACAAGCAGACCAGACACTGTTAAACAATCCCCTTCAATCAGATATGTTCAGGTCAAAAGGTAATTACGTTCACAGTCCTGTCTGAAGGCTTGTTTTTGTCTTTAACAAGATGGGCTTTTCCCGTGTCAGCCTCTCTCACACACTGTTAAGGAACAAAAAACTGTCTACACTGTCCAAAGAAAAATTTCTGAAACTCTAAAATCATTATATAAGTATAGCGCAGATCATCACTCACTCTGTTCCATCAGCCATGTCAAAGAATGTAATAAATCTCAAACCTTGTTGGGAAGCCACCAAGAGCTGAAGGAAGCACATGCCAAAAGGGTTTTTAAAAATCACTTTCATTTCAAACGAACAAATCCCTCTTGGCACAAGGCCAGTACCAGGTGATACACTACTTCTGACAGGACCGGTGCCAAAACTCTTATGGCTTTGCTTTTCTACTTAGTAGGCAAACCGGAAAAGCTGATTGTCAGCAAACACAATACAAAGCAGTGGAGCAGAGATTATGTGCAGAGAAAATTAAGGAAATCCGTGGAGGAAACCCAGTTGTACACTATGAGCAACCCACCTCTACGTAACCTACAACTGCTGGGACGTGGTTAATATTGTACATGATTAACAAAGCTGATTCAAGTGGTTTTAATTTGACAGTTAAACAGGATCAGATGCACAATTTTAAGCTGCAAATATTAAGCTTATCAATTACAGGAAGTGGATATGTGACCGGTCATGTCCAACAACTATACTTCTGAAATATTTGTATAGTTAAACCTTGGATGAATATTAACAGTATGCATCTGTGCTTTTTTGATTGAATGTAATTGTCATACTTCTATTCTCATTTAAATTTAGATTTTCTATTTTTTTTAAGATTAGAAATCGCATCTGGCCAAAGGACTTCAGAGTAGTAGAAACCCGCTATTTAGCCATCGAGTATGACAGGATTTAGTAAATAAGACTGTCTGAGCTTGTTTGAACACAAATCTTAAATGTCACTTACAGTGTCTTGAGTTGAAGTGACAGCATTCAAATTGTACACAAACAAGAACAAAAGCATGTATTTGGGTTTTAAAGTATGACGAAAAACCTACCTGCTGTTCAAAATACAAAGTTTTGTAGAACACAGTTCCCTGCTGGGAGAAACTTCTTGTAGCTCTGTGTCTGCCCAGAAGGTGAGGAGTTTTAAGCGCGACCACATGAAACCCAGCGGACAGCAGTAAGAGCAGAGCTGCAGTGAGAGATGAGGACCCGGACAGAGCTCTCATGGCTGAAGGAGAGGAGAGGAAAGCCGAACAGGAGTATGCTGGGTGTTCGTACCGCAACCGGGTCTGACTGGAGCTGCATGAACGGAAGAAGGAAGGAACCTGTCAGAGCTCAGACTCTCCCCAAGGTACGCCTGCCCTTTTACAGCGGAGAAAAGCGTCTATCGTTTGAGCGAAACTGCAGCTGTCATTAAGCACTGTTTGACTAGCTAGTTTCACTGACAAAGATTAATGACCAACCAACTTTTCTCCATTTATTACTCAACCTCTGCTTTGTGGACAAAGCGAAACGGTGGGGAAGAAAACAATCGATATAAGTACAAAAAACAAAATATTAAAGTGTGTATTTGTGTCTAGGTTACACCCTATCACTACACTTCTGTGATTTCTTTTAGCGTTTTTTGCGTGTTCAACAATAACAAAACCGGCACGCTTTACGTTTGCCGTAAAGACGCGCAATGGCTAATGGGAGTTGTAGTCTGCACCAAGTCCGCTTTATGTAGGTATGGCCATCGTTGTCCATTTTATCAGGTCCAATTACCATATAGGTGCATTTTGTTTTTACAAAATGACAGACTGTGGTTCATCTTCTTCTATGCATGATTTGTTAACCATAATTTACTGTTTATTCTCCCACAGGACCACCACTGAGCAGGTATATTTGGGTGGTGTATCATTCTTAGCACTGCTGTGCAACTGACATGGTAGCTGCACTGCAGTGCTGAGAAATAGTATCTTCTCAGTGTTGGTCCTGAACATTGAACGGAGTACAGAAAGGCTAATAATTTATGCAGAGACACAGATGGGCTACAGTCTGTAACTGCATAACTACAAAGTGCAATATAACCAACATAAAATGGACAATAAGTATAGATCTAAGATAGGTGTGGCTAATCAACATATTTACATATTGAGACCAACACTGCAGAGACTGACAAGGCAGGGAGAGCAGTTCGGACTGATATGAGTGTCTTTGGTCAAATGGGTATTATATTAACTAATTGGTGTAAAAAAACAAAATGAACAGCATAACTTCATATTTAATTGGGACAAGTTTTTATATTTACTTGCAGCCTACACACAGTGTGAGAAGTAACAAAAACATGATACTGAAACATAACTGCACAAAGTATAACATCATGAAATTCGGTAGTTGTACTGTAGAGTTCAGGTCTTAGACGTAACTCATGAATAGCAACAGTTTTTCTACCAGTCACAGTTCAGAAAGTCACTAAAAATGGAACATTCGACAAATTTAACAGTGATAGCCTAATGCTCAAACAGAAAATGAAAACTGAAATCAAATGCGGTCATTTAAAGGAATGGTGTTTGCATTCTCACAATTTAAAGGAGTTTATCAGTTTGAGACCTTTTTTTAAAATAATGAAATGGTTCATAAAAATATGATAGTTAGAATAAGAAACCTGTAAAATTTTTCATAATACTATTCTGGAAATTAGGGCCTAACATATATAAAAGAAAGGGCTAAAGTCCCACTGGTATACAATGCAAAATGTTACAATATGACAAATATCTGTAAAATAAAGCTAGACAAATTACCTGACAAAGAGCATATTGTGCATGGCACGACATAAAACATATAGAAAAAAAATAGTCTATATACAAAATTAGAAAAGGTTATCACTTTGAAATAAAATGTGTTAATAGAAAATATGGCCATAACAGGTAAACGGCTAAAAAGGCAAAATTAAATCAAATGTAAATCAAACGGCTAGCACAAGACAAAAAATCTTGAAAATAAAAATGATGTTTATGCCATTCAGGAGATCATGTGTTATTTATCGATTTGAAAGATGGATTTTCTGGACGGTTGAGTTTCGCTTCACAAAATGTCTAAATCCTTATCACAGGTGACACACAGCATAAGAGGCAAGGTTTTCAAAAAACCTGTGAAGGATTTCTATGAATTTGGTTAAAGAAAAAAATGGATCAGATTGAAGAAATGAACATGCTTTTTAGCAGCAAGTAAAACATCGAAAAATCTATAAAAGATGAAATTCACAGTTCCATTGTAATACAGGTGCAAACAACCATACGATAGAGTCAAGTCAACATGGAGGTACACTTTCCAACTGTTTCAAACTTAATCAAGATGCACAACAACACTGTTCAAGAAAAGGGCAAGGAACAAAGTCAGATTTTATCACATCACATTGTGGAAAAAAAACTGATGTGGTTTGATGTGGTGAAGTGCCATATATGTGCCGACAATAACTGAATGTAACAAATTATCCACACACTCACTCCCATGTCAAAAGCTTTAACAAATTGCTGAGAAGATTTCAGTACCAAGGCTTCACTAAACAAACAAAGCTTTCCATTATATGTATTATATGCTAATAATATTGGTTTTAAAATGGAAGAAAGGCAGAATCGGCTAAAACATCATAGAGACTACTCTTTTGAGAGCTAAAGTCAGAATGAAATAGGTGTTAGATTATTAACCAGTAATCAGCAAGATTCAGAATGTAGCTCACATGTCAGGCTGCGCAAATTATGAAAATTCTGATAATGACACAATATAGTCAATGCTATCATAAACAAATCACGTGGAATTCACTTAATATTTGGTGGCCTTCGGCTTACCACAGATTACATTTTTGGGCATCCAGATGCACATGAACACCGCTGATAGCCATTTACATAAAAGAAAGTGAAGCATGTTCAGTTTTAAGGACAGTGTGCAAATACATAGCCTTGATTCCCGAGGCACAGGGGCACACAACTACCGTAGAGCCACAGGTCTGCACAGAACAGTGTTTTCCCTAATATAATACATAGGAATCAAGTTATGAAGGGATTAAAACTTATCTCATGGATTGAAATGGGTGCTAAATCAGGAAAAAGACTAAACTGTACTGTACTGTAGCCATCCAGAACTGGGGCTGTGCAGTGCAACATTACAATGGCTGTTAGTTTTGTGTTCCCTTCTGATTCAACTCCACTGAATCCAAATTAAACTGCTTTTCATGCTTGCAAAACTGCAGATGTGACTACTTGTACATACTGAGGAGAGTCCACAAGATAAATGTGTTGATGTGTCATAAACTGCAGTTTGATCACTGAGTTGCTACTGCATAATATCAAAAATGACTGCAGGACTTCTTATTTTTACACAAAGTGCACTCAATTGTTGTCATTTTGGCTTTGTCCTTTTGGATTTTGAATGAAACAGATACTATGAGATTTTAAAGTGCAGAACATCAGCTTAACTTTAACTTTCAGTTCCTGCTTGTTTTCCAGGAACTTCAGTTGCCTTCAGTAAATGAAATGCATGCACAGTGCTATTTAGCTCATGTGATTGACTTAGTTGAAAACATTACATTACATTTTTTTCCCTAAGAACTCCTTAGCAGTATGTCTGCTGCACAGTGAAAAACTATTTAGTGAGTTGTGGGGCATTTAATTGGATCTGAGCTGTTAGGATGCTTCTCTACATTTCAGAATTAATCTTCTCGTCGCCACTGGTAGCCATGTTAGCCACCTATTACACTAAAAGTTATACAAGCTCAGAGCATGACACTACCTCCACCATGTTTCACAGATGAGTATCATATTCTGTTTCCTCCTACCACCATTCTGGTACAGACTAATCTTTGTCTCACCTGTCCATAAGACTTTGTCCCAGGCAAAGTTTTAGCAAACTGTAGCTTAGGCTTTTTGTTCTTGAAGCTTATCAGTGGTTTGCATCTTGTAGTGAACAATCTCAAGTCATGCTGGTGCATTCTTATCTTTATGGTAGTTTTGACGCATCTGTGCCTACATCCTGGAGAGAATTCAAAAGCTGAACAGGGTTTTTTTTCCCGTTAATGAATGAAAATATTTTTCAGTCATCTACTCCTGTGGTCTTCCTTGGCCTACCTCAACAGTGCATACCTACTTCTTAATTATGCACAAAACCTATTTTAACTAATTAGTGTTTCAGCTGTCATGGATTGATTTATTCTGATTCTTATTGATTTTTCTTAGAACGGCCTACCTTACTTGCATTGACATTACTTTGGTACTCTTTAAGAGAGAGCAACAGCAATGCAAATGTCACTAGAATCTAGGTATCACTTCAAACCAAACAGGTGTTTTGACAGGTATCTTGTAGATGATCTAGAAATGCAGCAACACAAGGCTTACCCACTATGGGAATTCACACCCTTTAATTACAGATGACTGTCTGCACTTTAACCTCCTAGTCACTGTTTCTTTTCAAATCCACTTTTTTGGAATCTACAGCCAAAGCAACAAAAATTGCATGACAGTCCAAAAACCTACACACTACTGTATTAAAATGTTCCCACAGATCCAATTAAAAGGATACTATTAATGCACAAAATCTTATTTCCACAGTGTTCACAATTGACTTCAATTTTTAAGTGTATTGGGCACAGAAGGAAAAGTTAAGAAATGCACAAGCATCTAGCAAACACTGACTTTCAGCTTGCATCTAAAATAAGCTTGTGGAAACTTAATGCAAGTTCAGCAACTTCATGCACTCAAGTGGCTGTACAATTACTTTAGTTTGATGTATGGTGGAAGCAAATTTCTGACCAGCAAAGCTCTCACAATTTACATAAAGCACTCAAATAAAATCAAAATCAAGTGAGAATCCCAAAGACCAGCTGTAAACTATGCTGCTGAGAAAAAAATAAGAGAAGATCTCTCTTGAAGTGATCTGAAATGTCAGTGTTAATTAGATTCTATAATGCACAGACATTTCACTTTCCCTCTGCTAACTGTTTAAGATGGTCTCTCTCTGGCATGTTCAGAAATTGTCAATATTAGTCTTCAAGAAAAAGAAAAAAACTACTAAATGAGCTCATTGCTAACAATGTTCTGGAAGTGCATTATGAGCAACACTTGAATTAAGGGGCACTACAATACTACACAATGTTGTCGCATTTGTCATTACGTGAGATGTAATTTTTTTTGTGATTCCGAATGAGGTGACCCTGCTGGTGAAGACCTGCATTTTTTCTCAAATCTCTCAAACAGCAGACGCATTGGCTTACACATCTTTAGTATTTTACAGAAGTGCATAAAATCTCATTGTCTGGCCTGTGGCTTTCCTTTAAGTACTCCAACTAGCAGTATTCTGTAACAAGGCCTTTAGGAGCATTTAGGAGCTTCAGTTCCCCTCAGTGGCAGCAGCATATATATCATCTCCTCTTGACATTCTATAAGTACAGTGAATAGTTTTTAAAAATACCCCAGGGGTTCACATAAGGGTTAATGAAGTATCCTAAACCTCAACTGTGGTGGCGAAGAGGAATCATCGCAACTATGCAGAGGACGTCAAGAATTACCACCACTTTACGTACTCCGTGGGGAGAGGCCAGAGCCCAGAGCCCTTCGCCAGATTTGCAGCCAAGTTCTCTAGTTGATGCTGCAGCAGCTTAAGTAATTGATGTTCTTCCCTTCTCCAGGCATGGGGGCAGATTCGTTGTTGTCCAATGTGTTCTGCTTGGCTTCACGAATCAGTTCACAGGCCAGGTCCAGGAAGAGTTTCTCCACATTGTCGGATTCTTTGGCGGACGTCTCCAGGTAGAGCATGCTCTGGGCTTCGGCAAATTCCTCCGCTCTTTGTCTGTGGACCTCTCGCTTTTCAGCCAAGTCAATCTTATTCCCTGTTGATGACAACAGCATGGTCAGGTAGCATAGCACTGCAATCACCAAAAACCCTAGCAAATTTTAGGCAAAACTGGCCCTCATGTTAACATCTGAATCCTTTCTCCCCCAGTCGGTTTATTAATTTAATTATTATGACTGATCACTTAATCAACTGTGACTCCTAAACTGTTCCTTGGCTTATGGTACAATTCAAGTAATAGTGTTCTGGAAACATTGATATAAAAATAGTGTGTTGTCTGCCTATATGTTTAGCTGATGAACAGCTTCATATAGAGCAACCCTGGTCCTTGAGGCCAACAGCTCTATACATTTTAGTGTTTTCCCTGCTCACAACATACCGGATCCCATAATCAGCTCATTAACAAACCCATGGACATACTGAAGCAAGGAAAACACTAAAATGTGCAAGACATTTAGCCTCCAGGACCAGGGTTGAGAAACATTGATACAGAGTAAATCTCAGAAGACAGGCAATATGGTGATAATTTATTGTGATAAATTACATTGTGGATACCGCCTGTACTTACACAACACTGACCAGCTGCATGTTTAAATACAAAGAGAGCATAATTTGTCCTGTTTAATTCCATTTAGAGCAGCGCAGTATATGAAACTTGAATAAATATAGCTTAACAAAAACTGTGATACATATCATTTATTGTGGAAGAAAGACAAACCATGATATTACGTTTTTGCCATATCACCCACCCCTATTATCTCATAACATCAAGAATAAACTTTTCATTTTGCCTAAACTATAATGCTTGTACGTGTATTGATGCATCCTTTTAGGAGTTGCGTATGCTTATTATTTAAGTGACCACATCATGCAGTAGTAAACATCTGCAGCCTCAGTACTGATGTGCAAGGATTTACCAAAGCATAACTGTCACATCTGCATTATACATTACAGTTAAGTAGTCAAACAAAATTCTGCCCTTCTAATTTGGAAGCAACTCGATTGCTAGGTGTTTTTTACAATGGCTGTTGCATGAAAGTGGTAAATGTTTTGAATGCTCACCAACTAAGATTGTCACCACTTGGTTGTTGGCATATTGCTCGATCTCCCTCAGCCACTCCGGAAGGCAGCGGAAGGAGTCCTCGCAGGTGATGTCGTATGTGAGGATGAGGGCATTGGCACTGCGGTAGTAACTCTGTGTGATAGAGCGGAACCTCTCCTGGCCCGCTGTGTCCCAGATTTGAAGCTGCACAAATTAGAAAATCAAATAATCAATGCAGTCACTTAGCGGCTGAGCCAGGAATCAGCGAACACCAAGCCGAGTTTCCACTGCAAGTGGCATCTGCCAAGTGGACTAAAATGGGTTTGTTTTGTTTTGTTTTTTTTTAATAAACCGTAGTCTAAGCAGGATAGACTTAACATGTCAAACATCAATATCTATTAATGGTTAATTGAATCTAGTGTTTTAATTCACAATAACCTAAGTTCATAGATTGCATAGTAAAATGACAATTACAAGTCATTTTAGCATTCTAGTCTTTTCTCTCATCCAAAATCTACAGTACTACCTCATAGCTAAAATATACAACACAGACTATTAATGTAAACTCACGATCACTACAGAGAAAATCAGCTCTGAAAGAGAGGTACATACCTTTACTTTCACCCCTTTTATTTCCACTGTTTTGATCATGAAATCAACCCCGATCGTGGCACCTTGGCCGGGTGGGAACAGACCCTAGAACCATGAAAATGGAAGGGACAGTACACTAAAATTAGCATGTCTCATACAAGCCTCTTTTCCAAAAAGCTGGGTATGTGAAACAGTATGTGAAATGCTAAAAAAAGAAAGCGATGTTAAACTATATAAAAGCCTTTTATGTATTATCCTATGAACATTTTTTTTAATAGTAAATATATGCTCATTTCAAATTTGATGCCTGCAAAATATTCCAAAAAAGTTGTGAAAGGAGAATGTTTAAAACTGCATTACATCAACTTTCCTTTCAACAAAACTTATAATTCTTTAGGGACTGAAAATAGCAATCGGTCCAGTTTAAAAGTGGAAATTCCTTAGTTATACAAGTCTTTAGCTGTGCAACTGTGTGGGGGTCTTCAGTGTCATGTTTTTCACACCATATTGCCACCGTATAATATACTGTTATAACATTGGAAGAATGTGGCTTAGTGTTGTCATGCTGAAATAAGCATGGACGTCTCTGAAAAAAAAAAACTCGTCTAGAAGGCAGCATATGTTGCTCCAAAATGTTTATATATCTTTCAGTGTTAATGGTGCCTCCACAAATGTGCAAATTAATACACCACCATACCTTGACAGACATCCATTATTACCCTAAACAATCTGAAAGGTTGACTCATCAGACCACAATACTGACTTCGTATTAGTCCATTTCAGATGAGTTTGAGCCCAGAGAAGTTGGCAGCGTTTCTGGATCTTGTTATTAACTGTCAATGTTTTGTCAAAGTATTCCCGAACTCATGTGATGATATCCATCACAGAAGCATGTCAGATTTTTGCAGGTCAAAGATCATGGGCATTCAGTTGTGGTTTTCAGCATTGCACTTTACACACAGAGACTTCTTCTGATTTCCTTTTGATGATATTATGCACCACAGAGGGTGAAATATGTAAAATCCTTGCAATTGCTCACTGAGGAACCTTGTTCTTAAACTGTTGGATTATTTGCTGATGAATTATTTGGCAAAGAAGCACTAGGTCTTTCCTGAATGCCCCTTTTATACCCAAGCATGAGTACATCACCTATTTAAGATGCTTTTTAAACATTCCTAATCTTAAACTTCAGAATGTGCATATATTTATAAAACCCTCAATGAAGTTGATAAGGTAAAACATAAAATATCGTGGCTATGTACTGTTTTCACATGTCAAAGTGGATTAACAAATCACCGCTTTATGCTTTTATTTGCATATCACATACTGTTCCAAATTTTTCAAATTAAGGTTTTTGATATTCTTATATATAATGCACTTAAGCCACCCACCAAATGTTCCTTAAGCCAAGCTTTACACATTATAAATTATATGAGAAGTCTCTAAAGGACATGGAGCCTGCCAGCAGTTTCTGCTCTGCATGGGGGAGGCAGCAGTCAGTGGGTGTTTGTACTGCATCCTCCTCATATGTTATAAAGTTTTAAAGAAATACCTCACCTAAGGATACTAACCTGGCTAACAGTCAATGACAACTCCCAGTAAACATTTAGCATGGCTAATTTGCATGATGGTACAATCACTGTTCACCTTAATTCCATTACTTATTTAATAGTTTAATTAGGAAATTAAACACAAAATGCATAAGAAGACAGACCTGAGTGAAGCGTCTGACGAGACAAGTTTTGCCCACTCCTGCATTTCCTATCAGCACTATTTTGAACAGGTAATCATAATCCTCCATGGTCACATGCTGAGAAATGGGGAGGGGGGGGGTGAGAGAGAGAGAGAGAGAGACAGAGAGATAAATGTCTGTTCAGAACCATGTGTGCAATTTGAACTGTCATATCTCAGTTCAATCTGGAATACACTGAAAGTTACAGCTTTAACAAAAATGTGCAAGGACAGCATCACATGGCCCTCGTCCTTCTCCTGTTACTTCTGCTGCGTGTAAATATTTAATGTAACCACGTTGTCTTTTCACTCATTTGAAAGTGGCTTTTAACAAAGCTACATTTCCACAATTTAGTTTTTGATTTAATTACGTCCCAAACAACATTTCATTGGTACTTAACCCATATTTTTTGTATTTTCCTGAGGTCCACTTAGGAAATTTATGTGGCGTTAAGTACCAAAAACAGTCATTATTCATTTTTCCATGACCCACTATCCCATCCTCTATTTATCCTTCAGAATTAAACTGGGTGTTTGGTCCTGTGCATTTAAAACTTTTAGCTTATATGTGAATGATTGCTGCTCTGTATTGCACCTTATTCATAAAGCAGTCCAGGCTGAAACACTCTTTATAATATTTAATGGGCAGAACTAAACTGCTTAGGCCAAATAGGTGGATATATGTAAACGTGTTGGTTTTTGTGACATCACAAAACAGTGAATTCAAAACAGCTCATTTTTTCCAACTAATTTTATTAATATTTTTGAAACTTTAACGTTTCTTTAGATAATCACTGAAAGAAAAAAAAATATTGACAACTCAATTGTTAATTTAATGGATTCTTTAATTCAGCTGATAAAACGCTTCACGGTTTTCATGGCAACATTTTCCCTGTTTTTCCCCCTCCTTTCCCTTTTCTAAGTGAAGTGTTGCTATGGGCAGAGCCTTCTGTGCATGTGCTTAAATGGTCTGGTTGCCAAGGCCTATGGCAGGATGCTGAGAGGACTGCAATAAAGAAACAAGGGATATAAAGAAGGGGCCTACCAAGACTCGCCATGCCAAGACTAGGCAAAACACAGACACTCTTTTCTGTGCAATGGACAAGAGAAAATGAAGCCCATAAGAAGTATTTGTCTAAATTGTCTAAAGCATTTGGAAAGCACTCCTACACTGAAAAGTCCTGCATGTATACAATGTGCCGTGGAAAAAATAAAAACTAACAGAACAGCACTGGTCACTAATTATCTTACAAGCACGAAACAGCGCAAATTTACCTAAACTGCTTTTCTAATCCAACTCAAGATTGCTAATTTAGTAAAAGGAGCCAACATTTTAGCACCATGCACTGATTTACTGTATGCCTGTATCCAGGGCTGCTGTCTGAGAGAGAGAGGGAGGGAGAGAAAGGGAGGGATATCGCCATATTCCTTCTTTTTTCGTGTTCATTCCGTTATTAACTACCCTGCAAATGCAATGCTGGTTTTGCAGCCTGCAGAAATGGAGAAAAACAACTGCAGACAATCCGCTACCCTGCTAGCCAGTTAGCAAAAATCGTGTAACCAATTTCTCGGCTTCATTCAGGCTACTCATCATTGAGGTCATATAAATGATATGTAGCAGCACTTACCAAATGTAGGGGATTCACCCCAGTTAACGGATTATTCCACAGGCATCCAGTCTAACCTAAAGGTTCTTACACAAGACGTTACTGCAAATCTCGTCCTTCCCTCAATCTGGGTTTCTGCTCCCTCTGATTGCAGAGTTTCCTTCGGTTTTCATCATGACATCATCACGCCTGCCGCTGGAAACCCGAGCCACAAAAAATGGGAGACAGTAGCGCGCTGGACTCTGGGAGTTGGAGTGCATATGTCCTAATGACCACAGGTTTGTGTTCATAAAGCTCGTTCAACAAATGTTCAACAAATGACAGGAACACAGCCAAGGATAACGATGGAAATAAACATCATTCATGTTTATGTGCGTCAGTGTGGTTATGTATGAGCACTTCACAACTGGATTTTTTTGGCACTTCTTCCACAACCTACCCCCCCCCCAAAAAAAGGAAAAGATAGATAACATCGGATAATCAGTTGTACATTAGTGGTGATTATGCAATTGATTTAATGCTTATGACTAAAACTAAATTAGTTCTTATTATTATATTATCTTATTCGGTGTATGCTATTTTTTTTTCTTCATTGGTTTTAAGTAACAATTAGTTTGGTCAAAGGGGAACTCCACCGATTTTTCAAAATTTCAGCATAATTAAATGGTTGACATATCAACTAAATCACGGCGTGGTTAGTGGATTGGTGTGAAATGCTCTGTTCTAGAGAAACTTACCAAATCAGAATTGTTCACAGTGACGGTGATAGGAACCAGACATCAAAGGAATTTGATGCCTCTAAACCCTCCCACACACAGACAGTTATTACATGAAATGGTTATGAATACACTGCCTGATGTTTGAGACAATGTTTATGGTAGTTTTGTGATAAAGGTTTGGTCCAAAATGTATTTTAATCAATTTATTTTAATGTATTCATAGTGGAGGGATACATGAGGGGTGTTCTGAGGCACAATGGTGAGGCAGAATATTTTTTTAGATTGACTATTATTTTACCATCATCAACATTACAAATATTAACTCAGGAGACATGTGTAGGTTCTATATTTGCATTGTTGACAACAGGACCCCTGTTACTAAGAAAGTAGTGGTCAACAAGTTTCTCTACAAATTAATCATTTCACATCAAAACAGTCTGAATGACTTGTTTACATCTCAATCATTATATTTTGCAGAAATCTTGGTGTAGATCCTCTTTAACGCCGGAGTCTTGTGTAGACAAAGGTGGAGGCAGACAGCTCGTCTTAAATGAAGTGCTGGATCACGTTCGTTAGATTAAAAGGCCACTATTGTCTGTTCTAGCTGTGGGTCAAGCGATAGTTCATGCAGCCTTGTTTATTTATAAATAAATCCTATACTAAATTCCCACAATCAGCTACTTAACGTTATACATGGATGCCGGAACCTTTGAAAGAACGCCACGTTTTCCCCGACGGACTATATGCGCTGCGTTTCCCCCTAAACATTGCCCTTGGTTTGAGAGGTGATGTGCTAGCGGGCTAAAACTGCACTTCGACAGGGAGAATCTCTCATTTAATCCGCGGAAATGGGGCTTCTCCCCGACGAGGCAAAGGTTCTCCCTCCTCCTGGGATCATAAACAGAAACTCAGTGTGGCTCGGTCTTTCAGGCTGGCTCGCAGCGATGCTGCACAACAGCTTCAACCGAAGGCCTGCGCTGAAAGCTGGTGAGTCTCCGGCAGACTGACTGCCGCTACTGCTGCTCTGAAACCCAGTTCAACGGTAATTAACGTTAACTGGTTTATTCTTTAGCGAGCAGGAGTATTAAATTATGTAATTATGAAAAATGCAACTGAACGAACGTATAAAAGGGTTGGACACCCATAACGAAGCTTAAGTCAGCTTCTTATTCGAATTTTCCCGTTCCACCTTAAATGGTGTAGCATTATGCGCATAATGCTTCACCTTTTAAGGTGGAACGAGGAAATTCAAACAAGAAGCTGGCGAATTGGAAGCCAACTTCAGCCTCGGACACACATGGATAAGTACACTTGAACCTAGTCGTATTTTCTGATGAAAGTGGAGAGGGATAGTGAAAGCCGTTTTGTTTGTAAACACGGCAGGAAATTCACCAAGTCACAATAACTGGGAATGTGTTTGATATGTAAAGACGGATGGCTGATTGTAGAGGACGTGACAGCAATGTTAGAGCTACTGTTCCTGAGGACAACGATGGCTTCTTGCTAAAAGCAGGGTGATTCACTTTCCAGAAGTATCTAGACCCTTCTAATAAGTGAATCGATCTTTTTAAAGGTGCACCCCTGCCAACACAGTAAATTGTGCCCTTCAGTACAACTTGAAACATTTCTATAGCATTGCATAGACGTTCTGGAGCAGCTGCACATGAGCCTAAAGTCACCATGCCCAGTGCCAAGCTAGCAGAGGCTAGAGGGGTATAAAGCCTCCCAGCACTGTGCTGCATTCTCTGAAGTGGTGGAGTGCCATCCAGTACCTTTATACCTGAGTTGGAGTGGAGTTTCTGTCCAGAACTAATCATCCAACATCAGTAGCTGATGTCACTAATGCTCTTGTGGCTGAATGCAGTCAAAGCTTCACATGAATGTTTCAGCATCAGGTGTAAAGTTTTCCCAGAAGGGTAGAGGCTGCTGCTCCAGTAAAGGGGAGATAAACCTTATTATTACCTTTTGATTCTGGAAAAAACCTTGAGCAGGTATCTGCAAACCTTTAACATATGGTCTATAACAAGGCCACCAAAAGCTTTTACAGTTAATTTCTTATGCTTGTAGTGCAGCACAGTGTCAAGTATCATGCCATTTTGATATAATGGTACTTGTGCAGTCTATGCAGTTTAAGTCATTTACTTATTTGTTCGTTCATTTACTTATTCCCCTTAAATCATGTTATTTATTATTAATTATTAATTAATTATTAGCTCATTCTTTCTTTATAAAGTAGGACTGAACAGTCAGTCATTTTTACATTAAAATCACAATTTGAAAGAAAGCAGTTTTTAAATTGCAATGGCGCAATTTTAATAATGTCCTACATTGGACATAAGTTTAGTTGTGTTAAATTCTAAGGAGGGAAATTAAGCATTCAAGCCTCAGGTCTGACAAAATTGAAGTGCTATTACATATTTATACATATCATTTATATTTAGATAATGTTTATTATATATTTTTCCCAAATCATGCAACCTTATTCTTCAGTGTGCATGACACATTCCAGCCTACAGTGGACATGTATAAATTATTACCTGTATACATTAGTAATGTTGACATGTTTTTGCAGGTGTGCACCGACAAGCGTTGTTCATGACAGTTGGCTGGTTCATTGGCTACCATTTAACAAAGTATGAAAACTACACGTATGCTCGGTTGGACAGAGACATGAACGAATACATCCGACTACATCAAGAGGAGTTTGCAGAGAAAGGTAAAATCATGCAAAAGCTAATGTCTTTGTCTTTCAGATAGTTTAGAAGTCAAAGGATCATCCACTTGTCTAGTTTATCTCTATATAGTTAATACATATAGCTATATTATTATATAAATAACTTGTATAGTTATTCATTATTGTTTTACATATATAGTAGTGATCATTGCCTTTGTTACTATTTCAGAAAAGAAGACATTTGCAGAGATTGTGGAGCCATTTCACCCCATCCGTTGAGTGGAGATGGTTGTCACTTGACAAATTTGAAGAATAATCAAGAAGTTTGCATGTCGAGCTCCATCTGACTCTTGATACTGTGTTGAAACTTCCTAAAATAACAGTGTATATGAGTTCTTGAATATGTTTCTAATATTTGATTAAACAATTTAAAAATGCATAGATTGTTCCTTGAGGTTTCTTTTTGCATTTGCGTAGGATGAGTTCAATTAGATGAGTCTCAAAAATGCTGTCAGAAATTACAGAATTAAGTGTGTTTTCACATTGTTATTGGCTGGGACTCACTTCTGACCTCTAGTGGTTCAAAGCAGCTATTTTTTATCTCCTTGTACACAGCACACACACACACACACAGGAGGTGGATACGTAATGGGGTGCCTCTCGTGTTTGTAGAAAAATGTGATTTTTTTTTTCTCATGTTATAGATCAGCTCATTCCACACTATTAAACTGATACCTTGACTACAATGGCCATACCATTATAGGTCAGCCGAGCATACTGTAGTTCCTCAGTAGGGCTTTAGTGCTTTCAAGTAGTCTCTGTTTTACATCGGAAAAATCTTACAAGTAGGATGCAGCTGTCTTCATGGAGGAGCAAAGACTGGTCGCTTTTGTTTTCCAAACCATCATCAAAGAATAAAAGGGGCCAAAACAACCCCGGTCCCAATCCAATGGCTGACATGAACCACATGAATGTGACCATCAGACCGGACAGATCTTCATACGGGCACTTACTGATAACGAGTCATTTGTGATGAGTCTTTAATCCTGTTTCCAGGGAGACCAAACTTTGTAAACATTTGTAAACAAGTTTTCATTCAAATATTCGAGGCCCATTGTGTCACAGCTGAGATGGAACATTCCATGTACGTTATGAAGAGGTGAAAAAGAACCCTGAGCTTCAGTCGTTTACAGACCCTCTACAGACAAGACACTGTGATATCCTGCACTCCGACATCTCATCCTTCGAGTGGATGCAGCCTTTCTCCGTTCGCACTCTTGCTCCAGCTGGGATGCGGTGGCGCCCCCTGCTGTGTGTGGCCGGGGCTGCCGTCGCCGCTGGAGCTTTTTATTATTTTTACAGGTGCAGGAACCAACATGAGAGGACCAGAGAGCATCCTGAAGAGGAGACTGTCCATGAAGGTAAACACAGACACAATAGGAGTCTTAAACAGCTCCTAATAAACAGTGTACGGTACTTCTAGTACAGGTCAAAGGGCCGAACTGTTCAGTGTAGACAGTATTTTGGCTAGTTTAGTAGCTTGCTAGCTATTATTGGGCGCTAACGTTATAATGTTCCGAAGTACAGTCCGAAATACAGAAGTAATTTATTATATTATCTCTACGTTTGTATGGTCTGGAGCTAAACGTTTACTCTGAAATGAGTAAACCAGCTAAATAGTCAGATGATACGGAGGAAAAGTCATCGTATCGCCCCCTTCTGTTTACGTTCAAATATAGGTTAAAGGGTCGGCCAAAAATCTGATTTTATTACTGTGCTTTTAGGGCTATGTTCAGCCTGACGGCCCAAAACAGCCTATTGCAGTTTAAGGAATAAAGAGAAGTTGAAAAATTGTCATGTGCATTTTAATTATGTCTGTTTTTTGTGCATTAACCTACACAAATAACACAGTTGTACCTCAGTGGAAAAATAATGTAAAAGATAAAAATACAATATGGGCCCTTTGACAGTGAATTGGAGGTGATTTTCATTACAGGTAGTACAGCATAATGACCTCCTCACTGCCATATTCAGTTATATCTGATACTGTGAAGATGTTTTAAATTGACTTTAAAGCCAGAAATGTTATGAGTGTTTTAGCAAAACAGACTACAGAGTCTGCAGCTGATGTCACATTCACACATATCCCACAAAGCAGTGGTGGCACTGAAATCTTAGTTTGTAGTTTAATTGTATTTTAATCCTCAGAGTTATAATGCTAAGCAGCATATTCTTCCTTTATGTTGTATTCATACTATAGCTAGCACGTCTCCACGTCAGCCAGCGTCCAGGCCTCCATCAAATGCATCATTAACCAACCAGAGTGCTCCTGAGGTAAGGCTATACACATTCCTCTTATCAGTTCTGACTACACTTTTAACAGTTTTATTTCTCAGTAATAAGTACTACAAATTTGGGGTTATAGGCAGCTGGAGATACTGATACCCAGAGCCCCCACATACCATCTCCTAGGGCTCCATCAGTGGCTCCTTCACCATCTCACCCACAATTCAAGCCTCAAAAAGAATTACCAGCCTCTACTCAGAGTGTTTCTGGGGTAAGGCTATGCCTACTGCTCTTATCAGTTCTAATGACATTTACAGCAGTTTTATTTGTCAGTAATTAGTATGGTGGGACACTTTAACAGACTACTGTTTTTTTTTTTAAACATATCAAAATGTTTTCTTAATAAGCAAAGATAATCTTTTAGTAATCAAATAGGATAAATGAATGGACTTGTTATTCAGGTCCTACAGCCTGTGTGTCCTATATTAATTAACACTTTGTCCCATTTTACCTAAACCCATCCTACTGCATATCTGGTGTCATAGGCATGTGGAGATATTGCATCTCCCCAGAGCCCACCCACATCACCATTCCAGGCTCCTTCTCCACCTCAGCCACCATCCGAGCCTCAGCCAGAGCCAGCTTACTCCATCCAGAGTGCTCCTGGGGTAAGGCTAAACACGCTGCTCTAATCAGTTCTGATTACATTTTCAGCAGTTTTATGTATCAGTAATAAGCCCTGCATGTTTGATGTTACAGACATTTGGAGATCCTACTGAGGTTTATCGGGTGCGCTTTTTGTAGTAAGTACTCGTTTTCACCCTTTTGTTGTGCCAAATAGAACTTACCAGGCTACATTTATTTCGATAAGTATCTTTAATATGAAAGTTTTTTTTTTTTTGCCCAAGTGACTACTTTGCAGCCAAGAGGATGTCCAACTTTCCTCTGAAGCTTTTAGCTTTGCGCCAGGCTTTCACTGTAAGTCTACCAGCTGTAACTTCATCCTCAGTTCTCAGTGATTCTGTCTTTATACCCAGGTGCCTGTTGAGCTGTTCTTTTCTGACAAACCCTTTCTTGGTTTCATTTTGTAGATTGTTCTGAGCAACAGCCAAGATTCAAAATGTGTAATCATTGCGGGCAAAGTCTTTCTGGGAGGACTTGCCACTCGAAATGCCAGGGTAACACAAAAAATTCATCTATAACAAACATGAATTATGTAATGATGATGATGAATTATGTAATAATGACCTTGTGCATAAGCAACAAACACATCTCTTTGGTCCGCAGAGGCGTCCAGCTTTCCATCCAGCATATAACTTCCTGGTGGCTGTTCAGGATGCTTCCCATCAGGAAGCTATTTGCACAGAGCTGGCACAGATTGGAGTGAGTTCACGCTTTTCAACATTTTTTTTTCTCTCAAAGTATTCATCTCTTTATCACTGTGAACGTGACTCTAACACTAATGTTTCTTGTTCTCTTAGATCCAGCACTTTAGCTTTATAGATATTGTCTATGAGCTGGTGCTGATGAGAGCGCTGCAAGGAGCGAGGCCTCCGATCTTTCCAGTAAGAGACTCCACTCAGTCTTAGAACTAAGTGTGACTTTGTGTTGTGCACTAGAAGCTGGATACATTATGAAGCCTCTTACAGCTTTAACACCCAGCCTTCTATAGAAATGTAGTAGAATGTGAAATGCAGAACTAGTTTCTAGATATGAAACATATTCTGATTCTCTTATTATATACTTTAAAATCCAGAAGAACTGCAAATTGTTCACTCACTCTTCTCTTCCATGTTTCCAGACACCAGGAGGTTTTCTTGGGCACCTGATGGCCATGGTTTTCTCCTTCAGTCCTGTCAGTACAGAGGGGAGGTCTAGGGCTGAGCAATATCTGTTCCTGCTCCAGGTAAGGTGCACATCAACAGCATAAATATTAGAAGTGAGCATCAGTAGGTTTGTTTTATCTGTTTAAAGTGAAACTACATGAATTAACCATCTTAGTGTTTTCTATAGCATATTGCTTTGTTTTCCTTAATTGATAACAGCCTTGTTCTTTCTCAGGATGAGGCCCTGCTCCTTTTGGATGACATCGTTGGTGGGGAGGAGCATGTTTATCAGGATCCTCGATCTCTGGCTCTGGCTCTGTGGAACTGTTTGGAGAAGCATGTTCAGCAGCTCTTGTTGAGGCTCCAGGCTGCATAACAGCCCTAACTTCTATTTTCCATTTTTTCTATTAGCAATATCAGTATAATGTTTGTATTTCTAGTATTTAGTATTTTTTGGTATTTTAGGTTTTCTATTAAGTGCATTACGTACTGAATATTCAGCTATAAGGCAGACGTACTGTTTACCTACACTTGGAGGTCACTTTATCAGGTAAACCTACCAGATAGGAGCACTTTGTGGGTTTATAGTTACTGACTGTAGCCAGTCTGTTGCGGCAACATTCATCAGCCACTCTCTACCCTGTCCATCAATGGACAGGAATCACCAGAGAACTAGCACAGACCAGATACAGTTTGGGTGGTGGACCATTTTTGTAATATTCTGTCAGACATCCTCTGGCGTGGGGGTCTCAACTTCAGCCCTGGGGACCCAATTCTCTTGCACAGCTAAAGCATTAAGTGCCACATCACATCTGATCCATGTCATCAGCAACGATCAAGTCTTTCATTAGCTGGATCAGTTATGTTGTTGCCAGTATAATTTCAACTGTGCAAGGCAGTGCATCTTCATGACTGGAGATGAGAACCACTGCTCTTCAGGTGTCAGACTGCAGTCCTGGGGGATCACAGCACTGCAAAGTTTAGCACTCTGCCTCATATGACACACCTGTTCCAGCTCATCACCTTGTTGGCTTTGTGTTCTTTGGTGTGTTAAAACAGTGTTTCCCAACTTCAGTCCTCGTCAACTCCTGATACACTCATACCAACACACTGTAACATGTCAGAGTCACTGCTGTGCTGAGAATGATCCACCACCCAAATCATATTTGCCCAGCAGGGGTGGTCCCTTTCTATTGATGGGCGAGGTAGAGGATGCTGATAAATTGTGCAGAAACGGAGTATGTAAATTGTACATAACTCCAGTATGTAATTCTAATCCTACATCCTGGTGCACCTATATGATAGACCAGATAAAATGACTAATGAATGAAGATACAAGATCAACGAACCTAATAAACTAGAGACTAGTGCACTTAACAGTACATAGTGTATGTTTTTATTGTAGTTTTTTTTAAATATTATAAGTATTTTTTATTAATGTTAAGCATTTCTAATTAAAGCAAGATACAGTAACTTTATGAAGTACTTTATTTTGTAGTAGTTTATTTTCAGGAGCTTTTCACAACTAAATAGTACATTTAAAAGGTATTTATTGCTGTTGTAGCCTCTCTCTCTCACCCCCAATTTATATATATTGTACATATTGTATATATTGTAAATAGTTATTTTATTTATTTATTTTTAAATGTCTCTTTCTTTGCTTCATTAAAAAGATGTTTGTTATTCTGAAAAAATGTTACACCCACATTATGAATATATAACCTTGGGCCTATACAATTTCTGTCATATTGGTACAGTCTATGGCAAGACATTCACAATAATAATAAATATATATATAAATGCTGTTAATATTTGTGTGACCTAATTCACTGTAAATTGTGGCCCTACCTATAAATCCAACTCTACACTGTACTAACTCAAGTCTTTTAATATTTGAGTGAGAGTTTATTTTACATCTTGGTCATCTTTCATTTAGTACTGCGAGTAACTGAAATCTTGAACCCAACAACTTTTCATGCATAGTTTGAAGAGAACACTTATTTTGGACACCAATGAAAAGGAGATTTTTAAGTATCTGTGGTTAGACCACATTTTCATTAAATGTGATGACTAACCCCAATGTCGAATAGAACGTCAAACTGCAATGAAACTGCATCCTTGCATCTAATACCAATACAGTAATACGTTTTGTGTGGGTTTATGTACCAAAAACTGAATTCATTTTTACATGACCATTTTCCAAACTCTCTACTCTCCCTTAGAATTAAACGTTTTTGCTATTGTGCCTTTGAAACCAGTATATCATCACAGTACAAAAAAAAACACAATCTAATTTTTTTCTACATCATTTGTAAAAAGCAGCTGCCCTGTACATTGTGTGAAAATTTCCAAAATTGCTTGGAATAGCATTTCTTTGCATTAATTTACATTAAAAGCAAAGAAGGTTTCTGCTTCTCCTGTAGAGCTCCCATTTGTGGAGATAATAAATATATCAACAAGTCATGTAAAAATTAAATGGGAATTTACAAAATATCTAGAATATAGTAGAATAATATGTGGTCAGTGGTGATTCTATGGTGGTCTCTTTCCAATAATGGGTGAGGTAGATAAGGGCTGATCAATTGTGCAGCAACAGATGGGCTACAGTCAGTAACTGTAAACCATACACTGCATCTATATGGTAGGTACAGCTAAAAAAAAGGACAAGCGAGTATTTCATGTGCTGTTTCTGTTATAGACCTCTGAACTGAGCTGCAGTTGCCATCACACCCATTTTAGAAACTCTTGAGTCTAAGCAGTTCTTCCTTTTGACATTAATACACCAAACAATTCAATCTAATTTTTTCACAAAAATCACTGCAAATACCTAGAATACATAAAAAAAATACTGGATAATAAAATTACAAATATGAAACTAACACTTAAGGCACTTGAAGGAATTTGGACTGTTAGGTGGCTTGGAGTCCACAATCCAGATAAAGATGCTCCTCCTCACAAAACGGCATCCAAAAGGAACAGAACCCGATCCTGAGATATAGTGAAGCTGTTATTAACTGAGGGGAATGAAACAGTATGATAAAGAACACTATACTACCAAGACTTCCAATGTTAATTAATGTAGTTTCACTTTAAACAGATGTGACTGATGTCCACCTTACCTGGAGCAGGAACAGAAACTGTTCTGCCCTGGTCCTCCTCTCTGCGCTGACAGGACTAACCAATGGCCAACAGGTGCCCAAAGAACCCTCCTGGTATCTGGAAAGGTGAAAGAGAAAATAAAAGCGAATAAGTAATGTGCAGTTCTTCTGGATTCAAAAGTATATAATAAAAGAATCAGAATAGAATCAGAACCAGAGCCATGTACACATACAAGGAATTTGGTTTTGGTTACAGGAGCTCACAGTGCCCAGTATCAGACAAACATTTACATGTAGTAAATAGAATAAAACATGCATTCCTACCATCACTCACTCATACATACACATATACACACACACACACACACCACACACAGTCATACCTGTAAACCTTACAATGGGCAAAGTATGTGTCTTAAGTTAAAGTGCTGAGTGAAGCAGCAGGTAAATGATGTATAGTGGCAAAGAAAGGGGAGAAGTGAGGTAACAGATAAGTAGGGTAATAAGGCAGGTAAGATGCTAGAAATACTGGTCTGACACAGTAGTTTCAGAGGATGAAATGTTGGAGTGTGATACTATATACCAATATATTTAGAAGTGCAGTTTAGAAGCCGGAATATTATGCATGTGTAATAATTAACTGTTCAAAAGAGTGACGGCTTGTGAGAAAAAGCTTCTTTGTAGGTTGGATGTCCTGATTCTCATTTGGCTGAAGCGCCAGCCTGAGGGAATGAGCTGGAACAGGTGGTGGCTGATAGGACTCTAGATAGAGTCCTTTTCTAGAATCGAGTTCTGTATTTTACATTCTACTCAATATCATTACATATGTATGGAAAGCTGGTTGTTAAAGCTCTTAAATGATAAAGCTGGTTGTTAAAGCTTCATAATGAATATAGCGGATTTTTTGAATGAGACAATACAGAACAGCCAATCAGAACAGAGGTAATTTACATGCATCAGTCTTAATGGTACAGTAACAAAAACAGCCTACTTAACTGTAAGGCTGGAAATTGTCATGTAAAAATTATGACTTTTTTAGTACAAAAAAAGCAAATATCACAAATGAACTTCAGCAAAATAAATAAATAAATAAAAATAATAATAATATAGAATTTATTTCAAATATTCATCAAAATATTACTTTTGTAGCCCTTCAGTTCCTGTAGCTTTGGACAAAAGCATCATTAAGAGCACAATGCTAATCTCTCACATTCCACCTTAATGCTAAGTCATCTACAATTGTAGAGAAACAGCCAGTGATACAGTGACACTTCTTCAAATACTTCATGCTGTGTTCAAAGATTTATAACCAATGACCATATGGGTTTATAATTACTAACAGATGCTGCATAATTTCATCTCCGTTAGACCACCACTGAACAGATTCTATTGTGGTGGTGGTCTATTCTCAGCATATCACTGTCACCGACGCGCATTGTGCTGGTAGAAGTCTATCAGACACTGCTGTGCTATGGGAGATTTTACACACCTCACTGCTAGGTTGAGAATAGTCCACTAAACAAAAACATCCAGCCAACAGTGGCCCTGTGGTCAGAAACTGACCACTGATGAAGGGCTAGAGGATGACTGACACAAACTGCATGCAAAAAGATGAGCTATAATCTCCAATTGTAAACCTCATCTACAAAGCGCACCAACGAAATAAGTTCAGTTAGTGTACATTGTTTAAACTGCCCTTATCATGGAAAACTGAATTTTCTTTGATTGTTCTTTGTTCTTTTTCTCATGTTTTTTTTTTTTGTTATTATTTTAGTTTATTTTTTTCAGTTCCTAAATCTATTACAGGTGTTTTTTGACCAGATCCACAGCAGCAAAACTTCTTTTTTTAAACAAAACTTATTTTGCAAATCCAACACCTTGTTGCATAAGAACGGGTTCCGTTAAAGGGTCCGCTTGTATGGAATAATAGTGTTGAATGCAAAGTTGTAGTCAATGAACAGCGTTCTCATTTTAAAGACAAAAATCCCCTTTTCTTAACAGAATCACACATTAATGCAGCATCAAACTTGCTTCACAAAGGCTTTTATTTACACACTATCCAAATTGTTTTGTAATTAAGGTTTGTAAATGAATAATTGATATTTTTAATAATAATCATTATATCAAAATATTTAATTATATTTAATATAATGATATGTAACAATCGAGAAATAAATATACATTTTTAATAAAATCTAATGTAATATAATCATTATAAGCAATAAGTAATTAAAACGGTTTCAAAACAGGGAAGCTGAATAAGAACACGCGAAAAAGA